GATCGGGCCGAAAGGGACTCCAAACACAAAGCGCTTCTTGCCTCAAACGGTGATGTCTGCAGACATGGAAGCTCAGATTGTATGTCTTATAGTTGTTTTCATTCGCTGAGCGCTGTTGTTGCCTTCCGAAGAGCCAACCAATCTGCTCCCGGAGCAGCCCCGCACGTCCCTCTATCCGAGTTGTCAAGCCCCATATTAAACCCCTAACCCTTTATACTCGGTTTCATCCCTTCAAAGGGGTTGATGATGTCTGTTCACGAGACCTCGGTGCCCACAAAGCCCCCGCCCAACTCGACACTGAGCTCCCAGAATTCCGACAACATTTCATCAACTAAATCTCATCCCGCCCGTCTCTATTTCGACAATACACCATGCCGAAGCACTTTCGAAACCGACACACTGCCTCCGATCCTCTCCTAGACCGGTCGGCTTATCTGTCCCTCTTGAGTCGGGCGGTGGTGTTGATAGTTTTGGTCCTCGGCCGTATATGTACATACCTGCCTCGGGTACCCAGGTAGTTTAAGCGCTGATGATATGGTTATTCGTAAGCGTCAAGTTTCGATTTCAGGGCAGTTGAATGAAGTTGCTGACTGACAAATTCTAGGAGAGCTGGGCCCAGGTGGTTGGTGTTGAAACAGACACTGGGTTGACAATGGGGGTTGAGTTACAGGGGGGTTCCAGCAGGGGTGTCGCGTAACTTAATTGGATCGACCCATTTCCACCCCCAACGCGTCTCTCAGCGCGTCTTCCCCACCATATCAACCCTGCCACCTGCACTCCCATCCATCCACCCATTCTTTTACACCAAGCACCGGTTTCGAAGGGCAATCTTTAACATATGCTCTTGAACCAGCTTTCAACATAATATTTTAGACCTCAGATACTCCCAATTGCGGGCACAATGGCCTCTTCAAGGTCTCCGTCTCCCTCCCTGCGCCGCTCTCGCAGCGTGTCGCCCACCACTGCCACGACGCGTCTCATCCAGCAAAACCGCTTTGGCGCTCTCTCCGATAGCAGTTCCGAAGAAGATGATGCCATCCTTCGTCCACGTGGGAAAATGGCCGCTAGAATGCAAGCCCGCGGTAACGAGCCACAAGAATCAGAATCAGAATCAGAAGCTGCAGATGACGCGAGCACGACGCGAGGCAGCCCGCCAAGGGAGACGATGCTTGAGAACGAAACCAACCAAGATGAGATTGAAGAGGCGGATGAGGAAGAGGACGACACTATTACTACGCGCCCCAGGAAGCTAAAACCCCGGGTTGAACGAAGCTCTACCCCAGAACCGAGGCCACATCAGGCCGCGTCGTCACCTGGTCTCTTCATCTCTCCACAAAAAGACGCCCCCGCCTCACCCGGGCTGTTTGTCTCGCCATCCAAGCCTCGGTCTCCTTCCGCGGATCAGAGCGACGACGGCCTTCCCAGCCCAACCGGCTTGTCGAAGAAGCCCGCATTCAAGGCCCTCGTCGCCAGGAAGCGACAAGAGCGCCTTGCGAGGGAGGCTGAAGAGGCGCGTAAGAAGGCTCAACGGAGGGCAGCAGCCGGTCATGATGACGATGACATCATGGCTGACGACGAAGACGACAACATCACCGATGACGATGGCGGTCGCAAGCTCACTCAAGAGGCGGGCGCATCACGCCCTCCGCGTAAAGCCAGCAAAAAGGCACTCGAGGAGATGAACCGCGAAACCCAGCGGTTGACTCGGAGTCTGCAGCTTGCTCACGAAGCCAAGGTGAAGAAGAAGCTCTCCAAGTCGGCCTTGTTTGAGCGGTTCAACTTCAAGCCTGAGGGCGCAGCGGCATCAGCTGAGACCGCGCCGGCCGCGAGCTCAAGCCGTGCCCCCACACCAGTGTCTATTCAACAGAGTGATGCGGAGATGAAGGATGTTGAGACGCCGCCTAGTTCGCCGCCGGTACCTGGGAAAGACGGTGCTTCTGAGGACATGCCTCCTACGACAACAGAGAACAAGGGCGACGAGGACGAATTCCCCGCCCTGGAAGGACTTGTCCAAGAAGCTGCGGCGCGCAAGCTCGACAAGGGCAAAGGCAAAGCAACACCTGCCGATCTAGAAGAACAGCCCACCGTCGAGCTTCCACGGAAACGCAACATCCGCGTCAAGCTCCCTCCCCTCCAAGCCAATAACGCCTCCGTCTCCCTAGATGCGGACGACGACGACGGCCTTCAAATTCTGCCCAGCCGCAAGTCCAAACTCGACGCCATCTTCGACCGCATCCCCACCAATCAAGCCCAACAAGCCCACTCCCTGCAAGTCCTCCGCCGGCTCGCCCACCTCGACGATCCGGAGAAGAAGCCGGCACCCCCCGCCCGCGCAGGCAACAAGCTCAAGAAGCAACAACAGGAGCCCATGATCACCGCCGGCGAGCTCCACGCCAACCTTCTCCAGCGCGCTCGCCACCAAGCGAAGCTCGAGCGGGACCGCCACTTGGAGGCGCTGCGGGCCAAGGGCGTCCATGTGCAGACGGCTGAGGAGCGGGAGAGGGAGATGCAAGATATCGAGGACATGGTTGCGAAGGCGCGCCGCGAGGCTGAGGAGCTCATGGATAAGGAGCGGGATGATGCTAAGGCGGAGAGGAAGAAGAAGCGGGCTGCGGGTGAGGACGACCCCTTGGGCTGGGATGACGAGAGCGATGATGATGACTATGAGGAGGAGGAGGTGGTGGAGAAGGAGGTTGAATTGTCTGGCTCCGAGGAGGAGGACGACGAAGAAATGGAGGAAGAGGAAGAAGAAGAGGGCGAGGGCCCGATTGACGATGCTGCTGAAGTCGTGGAGGCGTCTGAGACCGAAGAGATCGAAGAGCAGGCCGACAACCAGGACTCGGACGACGAGGAGCTGCCTAGTTCTATGCAAGTCCGACGCAGGGGGAGAAAGCAGGTCACCATCGTTACTGACGATGAGGATGATGCTAAGCCTCTTGTTAAGGCCACGCCCCGCCCCAAGGCTCACTTCTTCAAATCGCCCTCTGTCCGCAACGCTGAGTCGCCTAGCGTGCCGACATCAGTCCTGCGATCCGCTACCAAGACCTTCATCCCGGGCCTTCCTGTTGCCGGGCCTGCCGGCCTAGGACTCACTCAGATCTTCGCCGGCACCATGGATGACAGCCAAATGGGGCCAACCCAGACATCGCCCACTCAGCCACGGCCCACCTTTGACGTGACCGCCTTCCCCGATTCCAACTTCTCCCAGACCGCGCAAGAGGCCACAGAGGACCTGATCCTCGACAGCCAGCCGAACCGAGAGACGCAAGCCGAAACCCAGGGCGTGCAGATCCGCTTCTCCCAGTCCCAGATGCACGGCTTCGATACCTTCTTGGAGGAGACCGCAAACCCGACGCAGATGTCGGAGCTCCTTGAGCCAACCCAAGACTCGGGCTTCCAAGACTTCTCGCCGCTGCGCCAGCGCTTTGTTGAGCCCCCGGTTTCAACCATGGAGACAGTTCCCGCCGGCCAGACTCAGGCGGAGGAGCAATTTGAGTCGCCTCTGGTGCGCAGAACCGGAAAGCTCAGGCGCAAGAACGCAGTCGTGCCGGAATCGCCCAGTCGTCGCTCTGTTGCCGGCGAGGACGAGGTCGTGGAGGGTTCCGTGGCCGACGAGTTCGGCTTCGGCACTACCTCCAACAACGCCTTCGCCGCCATGAAGGAGGCTGCACGCAAGGAGAAGAAGCTCAAGGAGACCTTCGACAAGAAGAAGAGCAAGGCCCGCGAGATGGTCGAGGAGCAAGCCGAAGAGTCTGAGGACGAATACGCCGGCCTCGGTGGCGCCGATGGTGAAGACAGTGACGATGACGATCAGTCAATCAAGGAGATGATTGATGACGAGACTAAGGATAACGAGGGCGACGAGCGGAAGCTGGCGGCCTTCTATGCGTAAGTCTGAGTCACTCTTCTATCCTTTTCAAATAAACAAGCTAACCCGCACAGTGAACGCGACCGCGCCGACGATGAGAAGCAGGTCGAGAAGCTCTTCCACGACGTTACAACCGGCCAGCTCCGGCGCAAGCGTAACGGCAACTGGGACGACCTGTCCGACTCTGACGATGGTGGCGAGGCCCGCCGTCGCATGAAGCGCCGCCAGTTCGCTAAGATGCAGCGCACCCTCTACGCCGATGAGCGCATTAGCAAGGTTGCCGAGAACCCGCGCAACCAGGCGTTCATGCGGACCATTGAGGACCGCGGCAGCGACGACGAGATGGACTTTATCTTTGCGCCGCCGCCGCCGCCACCGGGGGCGGAGAGCCAGGGGACGCAGGCGTCAAGTGCCGGCCCGGCCGCTGTCATCCCCAACAGCCAGCCCCAAGCTGCCCCTCTGCCCAACCCCCGCCGCACCAATGTCGGCAAGAAGCCCTCCAACATTGGCGAGATCCGCGAGTCGCTCTCCAACCTCCTCGACGAGCCCTTCAACCCCGCATCCTCCCTCATCCCCGCCACCGAGGCCGGCTCCTCAGACGACGAGGCCCGTCCCCAGTCCTCGCATAGCAACTCCAGCAACAAAGAAAACCGCAACCCGCGCCGCAGCAAGCCCGCGCCCGCCATCATCGACCGCATCAACCTCAAGCGCAACTCCTCCACCGCCTCCTCCGCCAACAAACTCGCCTTCGCCTCCGCCACCACCACAACCTCCACCACCGGCGCAGCAACCGGAGGCACATTCAAGGTCCCCGCCCTCCTCCGCCGCGCAACCACCAACTCCCTCCTCTCCACCACCTCTTCCTCATCTTCCACCACCTCTTCCAGCATCACCGCCCACACCACAACCACCAACACCAACACCAACGCCGCGCGCTCCGCCGCCGCCGCCGCCGCCCAGAGCATGAAGATCAAGAAGCCCGCCGGCAAGCGGTCCGGCGTGAGCTATCTCGCGCGGGAGACGGAGCGGCGCGCGGCGGTGGCCGAGGCCGAGCGGCGCAGGGAGGCGCGCAAGTTCCGCGGGGCGGAGGGGCGCGGGAAGGTGGTCGGGGGGTTGTTTGGTGGGGGAAGGTTTGAGTAGGTGGTGTGTTGCGGTGCAGTGGGAGGTTTGGGTGGGTAATGAGAGGAAGGGGGTGAGGGTTGTTTGTTTTGGGGGTGGGGTTAGCTACCTGCTTGCTTGCTTTGGTTGTGTAGGGTTGGGTTTGGGCTTGGGCTTGGGGCGTTTGGTTTGGGGGGGTGGTTGTCGGGTAGTTATTGGGTAAGGTTACTTTGTCTGCGTTGGCCGGTGTCTGGGTTTGGGTTGGTCTGGATAGGGCAGGCCGGAGTGAGAAGACTTGTGCAGTGTACAGCGAGTTGTATAGTATAGCATGGCATGGGCATGGTTGGGTTGTGTTTTCGGAAACGGATTAGGTATTTGGTAACGGGTAGGGGATTCGGTCTAGGAGTTGGAGTCAGGCAATAGAATTCGGTATCAGCTCACCTCTTGCTGTCGACGACCCTTGAGTGACTTGCCCTACCCGTCGGTCGTTTTTCTGGCATGAGGCAGCCAAGAAAGAGTACCTCAGCAACAGCCGGCCATCTCCAAATGTGATGGGCGGGCACCCATGGTCTTTACGAGACCATGAAGTCAAAACATCACACTGGGCCCACAAACCACCAAATTTCACATCAAAGCAAACACCATGTGGCAGGATTGACACGTCAAGACTCAAACACAAGTAGAGTAGACTGATTCAAATGATTGAATTACTCATATCAGATGCTAAGCGTCAACTATCGAACAGCAGCCCACAGGCAACAACCATCCCCTATCTTGATCGACAAAGGAAATGATTAAGTAGGTAGTAGTACGTACATACAGGGTAGGTCTTGCCTCTAAATCGTGTCATGCCGTCGTATGGTCGTGATGATCCTCCGCCTGCCACCGAAAACAAAAGAAAATAAAAGACAGTAAGATGCGAGCGCCGAGGCGTCCCGCCAATGCGTCCCGCCAAAAGCCAGTCCATAGCCAGCCAGCAATGCAATGCCAACCCTGCCGTAGTCTATACACGCATGCATGTATGCTTCTCATAATACACGTCTCCGTAAAGAGCAACGAGACGAAATCGGCGCCAGGAAAACCCCGGCACCCATAGTTCGGAAACCGTTGTAACTCCGAAACAAACCGACACCCGAGGCCGCCAGCAAACGCTGCGTCCTCAAAATTAACCTCCCCAATTTGCCGTTCCTATCCGTCGCCGCGGAAGGCCATGCATCCCCAAGAGCGCCCGATCGTCAGGTCGTCTCCATCAAGAATGCTATTTCCCAAACTCCATGACCAGCCCAAGGGGGAACATGGTCCAGTGTTAACGACGTCGACCGCAATGAAATCCCCGTCGGCAAATAGATGCAGTATTAAGGCGCTCGTTGGAGCCATCCCGCGTGTTGACTCATAAACGCACATGGCATCGTTGATAATGCCGAAAGAATGTTGGAACTGCAGGATCGCGCCAGTCGCCCACATAAACTCCATACCGCCCGCACATCAATCGATCCCAAATGGCCCCGATGTCCCACAGCCATGGGTACCGAGCTATGATAGCCGGCCCATTCAACTCCATACTCCGACATATTCTCCTGCCACGCCCCCAGAAGTGGCGGCATATCCAGCACCTTAGACACGAAAGCAGATGGCGTGCTCCAGGATTGTGAGAGTGTCGTATTAGCGTTTAAACATCCATCATCTCGGTATCCACAAGCTCTTCCACAGAGGGACCGATGCGGGGACCCCAGTTGCCCTCGAACACGGTCGCGCCAGCAGTCCGGTGGCTGGAGATCCAGGATACAGGTTCCGACTCCAAGACTTGCTCAGCAGTGGGACGATCCGCCGCATTAGGTTTGAGCATCCATTTGACGAGGTTGTCAAGGGAATGCGGGTCGTTCGGGTCCAGCATAAAGCTGGGTGGGCGTTGAGGCTCCGTCCGTTTCTGGGCGCCGAACAGATTACTCGCGTTGTGTGTCATGGCCCCATAGGGCAAGGAACCGCGGCGAGGACTGATGCCAAGCCCAACCTCAGGTTCGTCGGACACTTGAGAAATGCCGGAATCATGGGCAAGAGGCAGGCCATTCGCATCGCGGGTAATGGCGCCGGCCTCGCCGCATGTGAGCGGAGGGACAGCGCTCAAGTCGCCTGCCCGAAGAGCCTGCCAGGTCGGGCCGTTATCGGGAAGAAAGACGTTGCAGGCAATCTCCAAGATGATGAGGCCGAGGGCGAAGATGTCGGCAGGTTTGTCAAACTCTCCGCGAAGAATCTCGGCGGCGATATACTCGCGATCGCCTTCTCCATCAATGCCCTTGGGGGCGGGCCAGCTCGTCGCCAAGCCAAAGTCGCCGATCTTGAGATAACCATCGAAATTGATAAAGATGTTGGCCGGCTTGATATCAAGGTGGATAAAGCCAGCGGAATGAATCGCAGATAAACCCTAATCTTTTGTCAGCAATACGAACTTTTAGAATTCGCAACACCTCAACTCACCTGAGCCGTCTCCAAAAGAATCTTCCAGATTCTGAAATCATCCAATCGGCCGGCCTGTCCAACAGACTTGAGGAAGCCATCCAGGCTGCCCTCGCTGCAAAACTCGGTCTGGATGTAGAGGTGTTTGTTGTGTTCCCAGCTGTCAATAAACTGCACAACTTTACTGCAGTGGCACAATGACTGCAAAACAGCCACCTCGCGAAGTTTCGTGTTGCGGTCGTGCACACCTTGAAACGGCAGGAGCTTCTTTACCGCGTAGACCCTATCGGAGCTTGGGCTTGAGGGTGTTCGAGGCGTGGTCGACAACGGCATCATGAAGGAGCCGGGAGCGGACGACTTGACAACGCGATATACCTGCGAGAACTCGCCCTTGCCAACAACTTCCGACTTGTCAAAACGGGAGAGCAAGGACTCGTCAACGTCGCCGGGACCAAGACTATTCCGAGGAGTGATGCTCAATCGGCGACTGGCAAAGCTTGAGAACAGTTGCCGTGTCTGCGAGTTGCTGGGGGTGGCCGGGGTCCGGGAAATCCCGGCGTTGCCGTCCTGCAAGTGCGAAATCGACAGACTGGTCGGGTCGGGCGGTGTCATCGAGTGCCCTGGAGCGTCGCGGGGAGTATGGGGCGACATAGTTTCCATGTTCGAACCGCTCGCTGTCGTGGGACCATCAACCTTGGCATACTGCCCGGTCGCGCTGTTGAACGTCGCCAAAAGAGCCGGCGAAGTTCTCGCCGGTGCGGGCGTGGCAAACGAGACGGGATGCGAGCGGCTTCCGGTCACGGAAGCGAACGAAAAGCCGAGGCAAGGTGAGCCACCGCCGGAGAAAGGAGTAGAAGGCCGGGGTGGGCGTTCCAGAGAAGGAGAGTCGTTGTTCGGTAGGTCATCCATGCCCAAAGTGATGGGGTCCGGCCTCGAGTTCGCGTTCGTATCTCTCGGGTCTCTACCAAGGCAAAACTGGGGAGCGCGGGCGGCGAACGAACGTCTGTCCCCCGGCGACTGACCGCCCTCATTCGGTGCCGTGTGTGACTTGAAGAACAAGTTCTTCGTCGGTGTAGGCGGGAGCTCATCGTGTGCCTCAGGGAGTTCATCGTCGTCCACACTAAGCATGCTCCCCTTCCTCGTATGGCCGGAACGAACTTGCTGGAAAAGGAGGCTGTTTGACTTATCCGGAGTTCCAAACAAGTTCCCGCGAATGGGTGCGGCGACCGCACTGAAAGGCGTCGAAGGACTCCCGAAAGAGATCCGAGATCGACGTCCGCCACTGCCACCTTGCGGTGGGAATGTGGCCGAATAATAGGGCTGCTTCTTACAAGGCGTGTCCGGCATCGCAGTGGCCTTTGCTCTGGGATGCTCAAGTGGACCACCGTCCGGATTGCGATTCATCTTGGAAACGAGGCCAGTTGACATAAAGGCCGACTGCAACGGCCTAGCCCCCTTGTAATGCGGGGTTGAGGCCTCTTCCGAATCATTCACCGGCGGGAGGGATCCTGGGGGTAGCGACTTCGATAAAACTTGCGGCAATAGCGGCCGCTGGGTCGGAAACTCTTCATCGGCGTGGCTCGAGCCAGATGAAGATTGTGGCACGAGCCGGGACAGCGGGTGAGGGTGGTTCGCTGCTCGTTGGGCCGGGTGCGGCGACATGGTCGCTTGGGAAAAAGGATTTGATCGCTCCTCGGGCGGGACGTAATGATCCAGCGAGAGCCTAGGCCTGCTGCGAGCGGCCGGCGTACCAGGATCAGTCGCGAGTTGTGCCAACTGCTTCTCGCCCGCACGTCGACCCCAGGAAGGTTGTGTGTTGCCTTGGCGCTGTTGAAGGGTGCTCCTACGAAGAGAAGACGTGCGCTTTGGCATGGCAGGCGACGCCACCAAGTCGCGGAACGGCGACTGGTAAGTGCCGGTGAGTTCGTATTCATGATCGCCGTCTTCATGGATGTCGAAATTCTGCGGCGGCGGCGCAGGGGTCTGGTCGAAAACCGAGGGTTCAGTTCCCGAAGTCGAGATTCCATGGAGACTCCGTCGCTTTGCGACTGGGCTCCCAAAGCTCGTCTGTCCGAGGCTCATGTCCGCGTCGCTCCGCTTGAGCGGGCTGACGGAAATGGAGGGAAATGGCTCGTTGTTGACCTCCATGAATTTTGAGACGCCGTTCTTCGTCGAACCCGAGACGTCGAGATGCAACGAGTGGCGCGAGGACCGGTCGAGATTCCCACGCGTGGCTGGGCTCAACGCGACCGGGCAATTCGTAAAGGTGGTGTTCTCTTGGCCCCGCGATTCGGCCAAGGCAGTGGAGGGTGGAATAGGGTTGCCCGAATCGGGCGACGGACCAAAAACCCGCTTCAGCGGGCTCTTTGGTGACATGCGCGACCGAGATAGGGGTCGGGTCATCGGCTTTGACCGCATAGAGCGCACTGAGAGCTTTATGTTCGGTCTGAATGGAGTCGCAGTTGTCTGGAGTTGTGGTGGTGCCGAGTAGGAAGTTGGCGAAAGCGGTCCCGCCGAGAAAGCTGGCGTCGCGGGGGTGGTTGTGGAAGGGACTTGCTCAAAAATGGCACGTGAACTTGGGGTTGGCGATTGACGCAATGCAGCTGAATTCGCTGCAGGGGACGCAATGCTCGACAACCTAAATTTAGAGGGCGATCGTGAAAGTGATCTCCGAAGCGATCTCACAGTTGAGCTGACATCGACGTGGTGAACATGGGTTGGCGAGGGGAGTGTAAGTGTGCCCCCGCTTCCACTTGAGAATGACATGTTCGCTTAGTCGCACTCTTCTCTGCTGCACTCGCAAGGATGTGACGCGCAACTTCCGATCGAACCTCAGACCTCAGACGATAACCTTGGTTGTGACCGGTTAATCCGTCTAGAAGGTGCAGGCAAAGCGAGAGGCTAGCAACTTCTGATGGTATAATTGTCGAAGGGCGTCACCGGAGCAAGAGCGTGACAATGCACCAAAATGTAAAGAACAGTGATCGGACAAGCGGTTGATTGCCGATAATAGCAGGTTCGTTGTTGTGTCTGTTTCCGAAGAGGCGAAGCCAGTCGACGCTCGAGAATGGAAAAAAAGGGCGAAATTGGTATTGTTGGAATTTGTCTTGTTGACAAGCAGGTTCTTGCCACAATGCTGATGCGATAAAACCAGTCGAAAAGAGCGTAGATACGTCAGATCAAATGGCCATCGGGCATTGTTGGTCGAGGTCGGTCGCCACTACCTCTTCTCACCCAGTGCTGGCTGTTGGAAATAGTCCTCCTCTAATCACACTCCGTCCAAAGTCCCGCCTTCCTTAAATCCTGTTACTGGTACTGGCCACACTCATATCGGATGAGAAGGTGCGATGGTGTAGGTGGATATCGGGGTTGTTCGAGGTTTCCCGCAGGTTGCGATTTGGTGAGGCGGGGAAAATGTCCAGCCAAGCTGGGATATCGGCTTGCGATGCGATCAGCGGGGTTAAGGCGATAAGGAACAAGTCTTGTTCCAAGGGAGAGAGAGGAACAGCAATATCAAACGGCGCTGCTGAAGGATCGCGGGATGAGACCGAATTCCAATGTTCAACTTGTTGGCGATCGCAGCCAGTGTGCAGACGAAAAGGAAACCCGAAGGAGGGCAGATCGTGCGGCGAAGCACACAAGAAGATGGGACGGCGACTGTTGTTTACTTGGCGGATTTCACGCGTTTTCGCGTTCAATAGACGCGTTGTGCATGGGAGGCCCTTGTCGTGCCTGACGTTAGCGTGGTACCATGACCCACAACCACCCGCTTGGTCTCGCCAAGCACAGGGTCCATGGGGTGGTGTGAGAGGCTTTGCCACCTGCAGCCGAACCCCCCTCCTCCCGCAGCCTCACATTGTCATGATTGTTCCCCAAGGACAAAGAAAGCGGCCCATCATTGTCGTCACAAGTGCAATCTACGGGTGGCCAAAACAGATGGCAAATGGCATAATGCGTAAATGTGATATCATTGTCTCAAGGCTCCATCTTTTGCTATGTAGGTTGCCTGACTTATTTGCCACCAACTCATGGAAAGCCGCCGGGCCATTCGAACCATTCTCTCCTGTGTAACAAAAGAAGTGGGATGATTCTGTTACAAACCCTCAACCTCACCGCCTCGGACGAACCGGAGTGCCCCCCATGGCAGACGTTCGAGACTCTTGAGCGGTGAAATTTTCCATTTTAATGGCAGTCAAAGGCTTCCATGGGCTTTGAATCAGACCTTGAGTGAGGTCCAGAACCAATAAAATGTTAGAGACAAGGGGGCCTTCCACAGAAAAAGTGTGTGTGGGGTTGAAATGCAAGATCTGCTAGATTCACACCGCTCACGCACTCTCTTCGCTGGCCAGACGTCACTGGCGGCAAGGCCCTCACATTCACCCTCTCCAAATCAGCCAGTTGCTGTGGGATGACAGGTCGATAGGTCCCGGTCTCACCAGTTGCCGCATGTCAAACGCATGCTGCCCGGCATGCAAGAATGCAGGTCCGAGTTTGAAACGTGTGTGCTGCTATCACATGCCTAAAAAAGGGACAGTTCTGCATTGTGCCTCCTTCAAGCCCCAAATATGACCGCTTGTGGCCACATCTGAGGCCCAACTCACCATTGGCGTCATTCTTGGTCAGAAGTCGCATTGACACCGCCGCCTTCGCCGAATGACGAAACTGTCATCATGATTAATGCCAGTGAGCTCTGCCTAAAACTCAACATGCTTGGCCCCAAGCAGAGAGCAATTTCTCAAGCTCCTTTATTTACTTTTGGCCAAACGCGTCGAAAGAAAACAATGGATGCTACACCGAACGCGCCTGCATCCTCGCCTCACTTGGCCCTCTTCCAAATCGGGTAAATCTCGAAAAACACAAACTACCACACACTAATTTGTAGAGACGGCGTCTAAGGAGGAAAAGCCCTAAAGAAAGAAAGAAAAGAAAGGAAAAGTAGCCACTGCAGTGCACCCTGGTGTCCTCATCCACCCATCCCACCAGCCCAACCGCCTTCTTTCACCCCAGCGAGAGAGAGACGCGTTCCCGCGGTCCACACCAGCCTTTCCCCTCTTTCCTCAACGGCCGCTTCCAAGTTTGGACCCCCTCCTTCCCACTGCTCCCAGCTCCCAGCCAGTCCCAACGGACCCAGGGGGCCGATCCCAAACTTCCGACTGGACGTCGCACACCGACCCTGAACCCTGAGCCCATGGGGAGGAACGAGGGACGGGAAGAATGGAGACAAGCAGAAAGATCGACGACACAGCGTGGAGAGAGAGAGTGGCTGGCGGCATGTCACTTTTTCTTTCTTTTTTCTTTTTGCTTCCTCCCATCCCCACCGATCTTGACCACTTTGTTGTTGTGATTTCCTCTTTCGGACTGCGCGACGAACCGCGACCTACCGCGTCCCACTCCTCTCCCCCCACCAACTCCCACTCTTGGCGACGTAGGTACGAAGGAGTCTTCCGTACACTCTTTTGCTCCGCCGGGACCCCGTTCAACGCCGCGAACAAGCACAAGCGCGCCTCCCCCTGCAAACACCAAAACTCAAAACAAAGTGCTGACCCCAAGAATCCCGATTGCTGCAAGTCGAAACGGGTTGGTTGGTTGGTTGGTTCGGCCTGTGGTCCGTGTTTTTGGCGTTGCTTTGCTTGCCACGCTTGCCCGCCCGCCGTCGATCCGTCCCAACTTTTTCGCTGCACATCCAATCCGTGTGGCATCCCGCATTCCTTGGCCCTTTCCGAGTTTCCAACCCGCGTCACTGATCCTGTCGTGCCTGTCCTGTCCCGTCCTGTCCCGTCCCGACGGGAAGAGACAGCAGCCAGCAGCCAGTGGCGACGGGCGGACCGAGATCCATCGTTCATGCACGCAGAGCGTTCCGGATGCGTGGTTTAATCCGAATCTATACTAGTATACCCCCTTCTCTCATCTTGCATTGCATTAGTAGGATGCATCGTGACGGGAGATGGTCCCTTCCCCTCCATACATGAAATCGGGGGGTATGCAGATGATGTGGTGCGGCACGGGCAAAATAGAAACAAGTAAATAAAATAGCATATTGCAGGAGTCAAGACACCAAAAAGTGCATTTAGACGCATGACGGTCTTGATTCACACTAATATTGGAAGATCATAGTTTCCTTTTCCTCGCCGTTTCCGTGTGTCCAGATGGAGTAATTCGTAAACAAATCCGTAAACAAGTCGACGCCAGTGTCAACATCCACGCGTTGTCTATCCATCCACCCCCATCCATTTGTCCGTATGGAGTCTCCGCCCTGCATGGTGGCCGATAACCACCCACACTCCAGAAAGAACTTCGTAAACCAGGCACAGAGAGAACATCACACCGCCCAACCTATCCAACACCACCAGCGCCCATCCCATCCATCCCCCTTATAGCAGCACCACCACTGAAACCTACCCATCCAAGCCCCCAAATCAAGCCCACCTCGACCGGATAAACTCGGCCCACTTCCCGACATCCTCCATCCTCTCCAACAGCGCCCCAACATCCTCTCCGCTCCGCTGCCGCCCGTTGGGCGCCACCATGTTGCTGTCATCCAGCACGTCCTGCGAATCCACATGCACGTGCCCGTTCTCCTGTATCTCCAGCGTGACGTGCGCCGTCCTGTCGCGGAACGGGAAGACCACGCGCAATTGTGGCACCGGCAGCATGGTTAGGGTTAGGTCGATGTTGAGGTGGCCCTCACTGCCCTCTTCTTCGTCCTTCTCGTTGTCCTCGGGCCCGTCGTCCGTCTTGGGGGTTAGGAGGGGGTTGGCAAGGGTGTCGTAGTCGTCTTGGCTGGTGGTTGTTGTTCCTGTGATAGTGGGTGGAGCGGCCGGTTTTACGTCGGCTGGGTCGAGGAAGCGGGTGGGGTCGGGGTCTTGGGTGAGGCTGCGCTCGAGTAGTGTGGCGAGGAAGGCGTACTGCCGGAGGTAGGGAAGAATGGTGATGAGTTGTTGGGGGTGCGAGAAGGTCATGGTGGTCAGGGTCCGGCTTGGAATCGGCTTGCTCACATAAAGCGTGTTGGCGTGGCTCTTCAATGTCAGTTTCTCCTCGCCTGGTGCTGCGTACGCCGTCTGTCTGTTGCAGGTCACAGTCCTCGACCCCGCTGCTGCCTCGGGTTCTTTCCCTGGCGGGTAGGGGAGGACCAAGCTGTCGAACGTGGCCAACTGCTTGAGGGGCGTCTCGTCCATCATGCAACCCAACTGCTGGATTTGTCCCCATAGAGTTGTTGGGATATGGACAGGCGGGTCAAAGGTGGCGTGGAAGACGGCATCGGGGAGGCGCGGCCCTAAAATCGAGGCGTCGGGCTGCATGGGATCCGCCTTTGTTTGGTCTGGCGTGGGAACAAACGTGCTTTCTGGCTCCAGCCAGTCGATGATCGGGCCGCCCGTATGTAGCTCATCCGGAAGAGGAACTTTCTCAACATCCGGGCCAATCCACTTATCCGAGATGCGGACAGGATTGACGCCGATTTCCCTCAGAGGCGCACAGTCGATGAGGATACTCCATACTTGTTCGTTTTCCTCAACCCACTCAATCATTTCCGGCTCCGTCGGTGGTGGCTGCAACCTCCTGTCTTTCCAGTAATCAAGGGCCATGCCCACTCGCCCCCTTGTATTCATGGTTGGATTCCCGCTTCTCGTGCAGAGGACGAGACTCTCGAGGTGGTCCTCGCCCTTGGCCGCAGCTGCAGGGTCTCCCCGTACTTGCTGAAGCTCCCAGGTGTGAAGACGGCAGAGGCTTTCGTAGATACCGGCCACGGCCTCGTACATATTAAGTCCAGGGCTAATGCTGAGCTTATCCAGGATAGCGAGACGCTCAAAATTGGCAGCAAAATTTTCCAAGGATTTGGTAAGGGGGCTTTGGCCTTCAAGAAGTTGCAGATCCTTGAAGAGAATCTTGCCAGCGGCCTCGGCATGCTTGTTGACAATCTCGGCCGAATCCGGGAAGGCAAGGTTCACTGATTGTACGATGTCGCTGCGGAATCCGATGAGTAACTCTAGAGCCGAGCCGGCTACTATGAGTGTCTTGCTGTCGTCACTGTCCATTGAATTCTCCCAGATAAACTCCAGCTCGAGCTTCTTTGCCAGTCTTTCCAAACCAGCCTCGCTAACGAGGCCTTTACTTCGCTTCGACAAGGTTAGCCCCGCCAGCCAGAGGATTGCCATCAGTGATTACATACCCCGAGGACGGCAATAACGCTATCCAGCCGCCTTGCTCTCTCGTCCTCACTAGCTTTCCCCAAATTCCCAAGATTCTGGAGGTCTAAACCCAGAGAACTTATGTCCAGGATGCCGAGGGCGGCAGCAGCCGACGGGCTGTCGTAGTTAACAGGGCCCGTAGAGCGGCCCAAGGTTGCGGTAGGCGATTTCTTAAACTGCTGGGGCGATGACCTCGGGCCATGAGGAGAAAAGGCGGCGGCGGCCGAAAATGGCGTTGAAACTGAAGGAGTCGCGGCAGCACCTGGCTGGGGCTGTGAAGGGGTCTTGCCCTGCGATAGCGGATGCTTCCCCGGAGTTGGCGTGGACATGGTGGCCGATGATTATGCGAATTAATGAAAATGATGCCAGATAAAATGCCCAGGCATTCACGAATCCGTTTATCAAAACAAATCGATGTTCGTCTTCTCAGGTCTTGTCGGTGGCTGCGGGGGCTAGCGTAATTCTGCGCCAAAGTGAGCGTAGGTGTTTTGTAGATTTATGTAGATGTGAGGTGTTGACTCGACAAAGAGTGTAGTTGATGGGTTTTCGTGTTTATATGTTGGAGGTACTCATGCCCAGATGGTGTTAACAGAGGTCCAGTTGAGTGAAGAGCTACGCCAAGCCACAAGTCTGAGACAAGCGAACCAGAACTCGAACGCAATATACATAACCCTAACCCGCAACCGTTACCTTAAACCTTCCAGGGCATGCAGCGAGCAGATCACAATCAAGTCGCATCGGAAGGTCCATCTCACTCCCAGCTCGTGCCGGCTCCCAATGGAACCTCGAAGCTGCCATCAAATAAATGTAGTAAAAAGACCGATTGCTTTCTGAAACCTCGGACAATCGAAGACGTCAAGCTGCTTCCCTCCCCCCCAACCCCTGAAGTGCCACAGCCACTCACACCAAGCCCTTGTCCTAGGTTGTTCAGCTGCAGGGGTTCTAGCGCCTGCGCTTCGTGGCAGCACTGACAAACACCATGAATTTCGCAACTCCATCATCAATCATCACCGACCCACTCCAATACCCCCAGACAGCCACGCCGCCATCCGTTGCACGGCCCCAGCCACCCCCACCAGTCCAGCAGCAGCAACAGCAGCAGCAGCAATTACAAAAACAGCAACCCCTTCCACAACAACCTCAGCAGACCTCACAGCAGCAACAACAGCAACAACAGCAACAGCACCTCGCTATGAATGGTGTCAACGGCGGCAACATGCCCGGCGCCGGCATGGTTCCCTTTCCCGCCCCAGCTGGCCACCAGGCCGAGCTCAACTACATCTACGGCATGGTCGAGGAGCTGAGTCGCCAACTAGCCGACAACCAGCGCACTCTAGAGGAAGTCGTCTCAGGCGTTGGCCGCGTGCGCAGTCGCGCAAGGGCACACTCACTAGGCAACGAGGAGCTGGTCGATTCCGTCGGCGACGAGGTCAAGGGTAAACCAAAGCCCCCCTAACCCCTCCCACAAATCAACATAATCTAACATTACCGTGTGTGTGCAGCCCAAGAATCCAACCTCGACACGCTCATCTCGATCCTCTCGGAGGCGCTCGAAAAAGCCAAGTTCTCGCGCGACGCCAACGCCGCGCTCCTCACGCAGTACGCCTCCGTCATCTCGACCATGCTCAAGCAGTTCCACGACTACAAGGCCAAGCACGTGGCGGACGTATCAGCATGGCACCGCAGCTACCGGGGCCAGCTGGCCGAGGCGCGGGCCGAGAACTGCCGGCTGCGCGAGCAGATCTGGGAGATGCAGGCGCGGGCGGGGAATGCCAACGAGGCGCTGCGCGGGTTCCGCGGCCGCTACGACGAGGACGCCGCCCGCTGGGAGCGCCGCGTCGACGCCAAGGCCGTGCGCCAGGAGCTACGCTTCTGGAAACGCATGGCCATGCCCCACCTGCCCGAGGACGACCCCTACTGGAGCGACGACGACGACCTGGTCGACGCCGTCGAGAAGCGCCGCGACCTGGCCGAGAAGCGCCAGCAAGAGATCAACCGCCTGGTCGCCCGCGAGCAGGGCAGCGAGGACGCCGCCGAGCTGGGCGATGTCGTGGGCGCGCCGGGAGGCGGGGAGAACGGAGACGTGCCGCCCGAGGTGCCGTCTGCGCCGGGCGCCGGGCAGGGCATGGCGATGGGCGGGGTGCCGATGCAGAGGGAGGATTCTGGGGCGGTCGTGCTGCCTATCCCGCCGCCGAGGCCGTCGAGCGCCGCGAGTAGTACCGGGTCGTCCGGGGCAATGAGGGCTTTTTTTGGCTTCTCCCTTTATTCGGTGACTTGGTGAGGAGGCTTTCTTCCGTGGGTTTAGATATCCGTTTATGCATCATTGGAGTATGGAGGGGCACTGGGCGGGGGTATGGCGTTGAAGAGAGATTGGTTGGTTGTATACTTCACATGATATCCTGATTAATATAACCTGGGGGTTTGAAGATGTGTACTATTTGTTTCTGCGTACTTCGTAGTGGATGGTGCTGTGGTTATTATTATTATTCATACTCCGCTATGCCCTAGGGCGTGCCGGACCCTCAGCTATTTAGTGTACAGGAAAACCGTGCCCTCCCGGGCCGGGTGAAAAACCCATACCAACAATCAAGGAGCGATGCGTTTTAGTGAGCCTACATATACAAAGAGAGGAGGCCTCCTGGCCTCCGAACGGGGGCGCTTCAGGCCGCCGCTTCCAGCTCGAGCCTCCTGGCTAAGTTGTACATCGGCAGCTTCCCCGAGTCCATCAGCCAGTCGAGAACTCTCCTCGCGAGCCGTGCAGTCGTGGGATTGATGCCGTGTAGAACAGAGTAAAAGTCCCGTCGTGTCCGAATTCCAGTTCTCTCCCACCTTCTAGTCAACGGTGGGGCCCAAACACCACACTACCAGGTGTCCGGCAGTCTCTCGTCCCTCGCCACACTCGACAGGCAGGAGTCAGAACCTCCGGGACTCCCCGTGTAAACAAGAAGTCCCGTAAGCCTATTGCTCCCGTCCGGATTTGAATCAGCAGTGAGCTCTTCGCCTTGCTGAGACCGTCGTGCCTCCTTAGGGTTTCGTTCCGGAATAGCGTCTCCTGCTGATGGTCAAAGTCGTCCGCCGGCCTGGTGATTGCCCTGCCGTCCCGTTCCTTTAACCACCTCGCTTTCCAAGCCTCTTCTACTACCCTGTTCGTATCAACGGTTCCCCCCGTCCAGCGCATGACCGTGCCCGCGGCTCTCTCCACCACCGTAGGCCCTTGAGGTCCCAAGGTTCGCGGTCGGCCCCTGTTGCCCCTCCTCGAGCTAAGTCTCTGCGTGCTGTGATTATGTTAAACAAGGAGAATATCATTCCTAAATGACATTTACAAGAGTTGTTGACTTCGCCCGATCACTTTCATCAGCGTCGATAGCCCTTGAACTCTAGAGGATAAACCAAGAAACTATATCAAGTAAATTTACCTTTTTACACAGTCCTTTTCCCAGTTTTTTGTCCCCAGGATAGAGTGATATTATCTTGTAGTCCCAAACTGCTCCTTAAATCTTACCACACACCCCTATGCACAAGGGGAAGAGGTGTAACTCTAACTCGGAGTTAGACATGCCCGGAGTCCAAACAGGATGTTGTAAGATAGCAGGAAATATCTAGAGCTTGGTCGTTATTATGTCAGGGGTAGCGGATGGTCTTTCGTGGAACGCAGTGCTTTCGTGTTTAACATTGCCTCGTTCTTTATTCCATTTTTAAAAACCTTAAACATATACTATTGCTTGGATATTTTGGATATCACTCTCAGATAAAAACCTGATCGACAACTTAAGTAATGGCCCTGTGGCATTCTACTAGGCGAGGACGGGTTGAGCAGGCAAGAGGTAAAAAACAACCAATGGTGTGGTAGGCACATCACCAACACGGTGAAAGTTGGTGAAAACATGATATCACAACACCACCACAGCCAACCACCCTCCCCCTTCACAGCAGGATACCACAACAACAGTGATTGATTGGGCAGCAAAACTCCTATGCATATTATCATTGTCCATCTCATGGCAAAAAAGGATATGCTAAGACCTCCGCAGCAGAGTGATATACTATATACTAACTGGAGATAGCCTATCTCCGACATGCTAAGTCCATCCTGCAAAGTCCCCCTCCCCCCCTTTCCTCCCCCAAACGCAAACGCCCGCTAAAAATCAGGGAGTTAGGTATGTATATGTTGCTTGATCCGCCTCCTCCACCAATCTCAACCAGCTTGGTATAAACCTCCCGTTTCTTCGCTCGCGCTTCCAAAAAACATGAGGGGATTGTTGAACCACGCCCCTTCTCCCTTTCCTTCCCCCTTTCCTTTCCTTCCCCCTTCCCCTTTCCCTCTCCCTTTCTCCCCCCATTACCTAGCCCACTCAATCCTCCACCGCCGTCTCATTACTACTACTACTCCTCCTCCCATTCACATTCGCACACCCCAGCTCCAACCTCACCCGCACCCGCACCTCCAACCTCAACCCCATTAACACCCTCCACCCTTCGCATTCGCCCTCGCCATCTCCTGACTCTCCACAAAACCGGTCCCAATGTGCCGGATCCGCCGCCCGCAACCTAGCCCTTTATCTCCGCCCTCCTCTCCTTAAAACACCGCCACAACCCCCTTCTCCCGCACCTCGGCATCCAGCTCCTCATCCCCCAACTCCTTCGAGCAAATCATGCAGCATGCGCCGCATGATTGGGGGTCAGCACCGACCATCCTCCAAACCCCGACGTCAGCAGGGCGTAGTGGCTCGGGGCCGGAAGGGGGGGCGTCGGCGACGACGCCGACGCGGAACTTGTGCCCCGCGCGCAGGATGCGGCCTTCCTCGTGGGCGAGGGCCTTGGAGCTGAGGGAGAGGAGGGAGTTGGAGCGCGAGAGGCAGGGGGATTTGATGGCGGTGGGTGTGGCCGGGTCGGGCTCGTCTTCGTCCGAGAGGGAGGCGCCGCCGCCTGCGGGGGTGGGGGTGGCGATTTTGGGGATGGAGGAGTTGGGGGGGAGGTTCGGTGTTTCTGATGATGGGAGGTCGATGGTGCTGGCGGCGGAGTTGGACACGCGCGTGTCTGGGAACTCGTCCTCGAAGCGCTTGATTACGCCGTTGAGGGTGTTGGAGAGGAACATGAGACGTTCTGCAAGCACGAGTTAGTTTAGTGGGGTGATATAGTTGGGGACGGAAAAGGGGAAACATACGGTAAGTATGGGTGTCATCCGCCGTCGCCTTAGCCTTATCAATGGCAGGCTGCAGGCGCAGGCGGATCTTCCTAGCACTCAGAAGCAAGTGCTTAGACGTTTCCTTTGCCTTCCCGCCGCTCGGCACTGCACGCGGAGGCTGGGCCACGCCGTTCTCGACGTCGCGGATAAACTCGCCCGACTGCCGCCTTGACTCATCGCCACGATTTTCGAGACAGCACGCCAACGCCCGGACAACACCGGTACCACCGATCACGTAGTCCTCATCGGGCGCAGCATCCACATCGGCGTCAATGTCCGTCGACACCGTCACGTCGTGTCCGACCAACCGCTGCAGGGCGTGGGGGTACTCGGGCTCATGTTTGGTGAGCACCTCGGTCTGCGCTTCAGCAGCCGTGGCCGCCGCCAGCTCCATGTTGCGCAGGCAGTACGCCACGACCTGCTTGGCCAGGGCCTTGACGAGGTCGCTCGACTGCTCGCTGGGGACTTCGATGTCGATGGCCACGAGGCTGGGGGACACCCTCGCCGCGGCGAGCAACGACGCAAACAGCGCACACGCATCCTCCTGGGTTTCCTCCGACTTGGCGTTGGTCGTGAGCTCGACGAGCCGCGGGTTCTCCAGGAAGCTGACATGGGCGAGGCCGATGATTTCGGGGAGGATATCGGTCAGCGCAATGACCTGATCCGGCGTCATGGCGCAGTCTGCCAGGTGGATGCGTTTGAGGCACGCCATCTTGGGCAGATACCTGCAGGACCAGTCAGTAAAGTCTATGAAGGACAAGGGTGAGCGAGGGCAGCCTACCTTCTCAGCACGCACACGGCGCTCGGGTCGGAGTTGAACAGCTCCTGGTTATGCGAGAGATCGATGAACCGGAATTCTTCCAGCTTAACTAACGTCGGCAGCAATTTGCACAGCGCCGACGGAGTGAGGTTGCAGTCTGCCAGACTCAGGGCGGAGAGTCGACAATTCTCTACCGTCAGCGCATCAGCCAAAGTGGCGAGCTCATCCCTCAGATTGTTCCCTCCCAAGTCAAGACCCTCGCAGTGGCCAGCCTCCAGGAACCGCGCAACATGCCCGAGACCCTCAGCATCAATGCCGTTGTTGGCAAGGCCCAGCCGCTTCACGCCACAGAGGAGAAGACCATCGATGATCAGCCCCAGCTGCTCGGCGCTGATGCCCGTCTGCCCCAGACCCAGCAGATTGAGCGTCGAGCCCCCAAGCCTCTCCCCCAGTGACTTGGACAACAGCTGACAGAGATTCTGCGGCGGGCGTCTCGCCGCCGGCGTGGGACTCCCGTTCACAGCGGCAGACGCGGCCACGGGTTGCCGAGGGAACTGTATCCCCGACAGGTCCAGGCTCTTCAGCGTGCGGCAAAGGTAAATAAATAAGCATATGTGCCGCCAGCCCTCGGGGCCGATCTTGTTATTCTTCAGCACCAACCGCTCAACCACCCCTCCCTGGCCGGCCAAGCCGTCCACGCCGTTGAGCGGCTTCCGCCGCCTGTTGGTGGGCCTTCTCGCGGCGAGCAGGCCGGCCAGGATGACGCGGAGGCCCTCGTCGGTCAGGCCGCAGTTGTCGAGGATGACCTCGCGCACGGGGACGACGGCGAGGTAGTCGCCGAGGGTGAGGAGGTCGGTCAGCTGCATCCAGTAGCCGGCGAGGTCCAGCCTCTCCACCACGCCCGGCTCGGCCGAGCAGTTGTCCGGGTCCATGAGCTGCTCCGTGATCTTGCGGAGGATCGGCGTCTCCCTGAGCTGGCAGCACCGGCGGTATATCCTGACCGGGTTGGTGGTCGGCACGGTCTGCGTCTTGGGCGTGCCGGGGCGGGGGGTGGAGCCGCTGGAGGACGAGTCGCTGTCGTAGTGCAGTTCCATGGGGATGGTGCCGTTGACCTCGGCCTGTTTCCGGCGCTTCTCCTTTCTGGCCTTCCTCTCTTCCTCGCTCTTCTTCTTTTTCTCTTTCTTCTTGTCGGTCGAAGTAGCCTTTTCCGATATGCTGTCTACGCTCACGCTCGGAGGGCTGCTGGATTCGACGCCTTCTTTGGAAAAAAAAATGGGTACTTCTTCGCCGGTGATCTTGACCGCGCCGTCCACCTCTTTTTGGGCCTCGATCGTTTTGGGCTGCTTCAGCGCCTCGCCCTCTCCCCTCTCTTTCATCTTCTTCTTTTGGTCCTTGTTCATTTTGCTCCCTTTTTTACCTTCCGTCTCGTCGGCATACCTAGGCATGGGGGCAATTTCGACATCGACACAGAAGGCCACCCGCCGGAGCTTGGACTGGTTGAGCCCATTGATGTCGCAGCGCTCCCTGTGACGGTCGACGTTCAACACGCGCCGTTCGACGAGCCCGTGATTGTGTGTTTTTATGTTGGGGTTGAGGGTGCCGTTGGAGGATGACAAGCGCCGGAAGACCTGTAGCAGGCCAGTCTGCGACGACTTCGGCGGAGCCGGTGTGTACGGGGCCTCGCCTTCGGGTCTCGCGCCATGTTGGAGGACGGCGTTCTTGGCTGGAGTAACCTTGGGCACTGAGAACTCGGCGGGTTTCGGTGACGCGTTGGTCGCTTGCGGGGGACTTTGATGGGCGCCGCTCCCTGATGTGAACTTGGACGAGATGTTGGAGAACCACGAGTTTCGGCGTTGGGGGGAGGGTGTAGACGGTAGTCGCTTCTCTTCCGAAGTTGTCCTGGCCGAGTTGGATCGGGTCAGCGCCGTCTGTTTCTCCTGCTCCGGCTGGCTGTTATCGACCGCGGGCGACGGAGAAGAGTTGGGGGCGGGGCTCGGGGCCGGAGTGTCGTGGACCGAGTTGGAGAGAGATCTTGGCCGTGCTGTCGCATTCCTTGCGACTTTGTCTGCAAAAGATTTTACACAGATTAGTCAAGCACTTTGGAGCTCCGCGTCACGATTCTCCTTCCATGTGGAAACCCCCTAGGGGCGGTGAGTAAAACCGATGCGCAGACGCTGCGCGATGTGGATGCGAACCTTTGGGATTTCCGTGGGTCATCCAGCTCACGTCCAAGTTGTGAACGTGCTCCATCTTGACGTCGTCGCACCACAGCTGGCCGAGGAACAGTTATCGTGGGCAAAAAAGCGCCACCAATGAAGGTTTCCCAGCCCAGCGATTCGACCCCTTCAAACAGGTGTGCGAATTAGGTATTGCACGATGCGGTGCCTCCCGTCGGACCAACCGAGAACGGAGAGAACCGAGTCCAAAATGTACCTATTAATCCGGCCGTTCTCGTCTGCGGCTCAAAGGCCAAGTGCGGCAAGGTATGGTATGGTATGTGTGTGTGCTCTTTGTCGGCGGAATTCCGTCACTGATGCCCTATGGTGGTACTGGAGACGGCCATGGCATCGGTCAAGTTGAACTCAATAAATATCGTTGTTGGTGTCGCCGCTGGAATTATAAAATCAAGATGCGCTGGGCGATTGCTCGCGTGCCTGTGATTGCTAATACACAGTCGTGATATCGCGGTACTTTTCTCTTTGCCCGATGGCGATGCCGCCCGCCGGACAGGGCTGTTGGTTTTATTTTTTTCTAGTCCTCCTTTTTCTGGTTGAAGCCGACGGCTGATCGAGACGCTTGTTCACCGCGGCACGATCACGTAATGGAGGTGAACCGGGGAGGGTTGCTTTGCGCGGGGGAGGGTTCCAGATGTGACGAAGGGTTCAAAGTCGACAGGGCATTGAATGAATGGTGTGTCATGTCACGGCAAGAATATGTAAAAACAACTTCAGATGCCCAGAGGCCAAGAAAGGACTATCTCGTGGCGCCCACCTTGCAGATCGGAGTCCGGAAATTGAGGGTCTCTCACATCATAGCACGAAGCCCGCGTGCCCGCAAACCGGTGGCGGCGTGGAGCGCGCCTTTAAGGAAGGCGGCGAGCAGTGGCAACCACCACCATCCATCCATCCTTCCACCCACGAGCCACCCTACGCGCTCAGCGCTGTCTTGTGCGCTGTACTGTTGATTCCGCCCTGGGTTAAGGGTCCAACTAGGTCGATCGTCAGCCGGCGATCCTTGTCTCACGCAAGCAACAAGCAACCTCTTGTGTCGCTGCGGAACTGCTGTACGAGGAACATCCAACGATTTGCTCAAGATCGGCGGCGGTGGTGAGAGCTACCCTCCGTTGCTAAACAAACATGGGGGAAGGCTAGGATGACACAGACTCGTCGCCCACCGGGAAAAATCGGACTCGCCGGACTCGGTCGGTTTGATATGTAAGCGCGAAGTTCGCGGAGGCGAGCACAGTTTATCTAGCCATTATTCGTTCCCACCATCGAGACTCGGAGCACCCGAGGGAATGGAAAGGCCGCCGTCAAACAGTCTAGCCAAGCAGGAAGTTGGCAGGCCAAGAACATAGTAGGGCCGGATAGTGGATGACAAAACCTCGACAAACGCATGGCGGAACTATGCTTGCCCGCAAACGGCGTTGCTTATGCAGTAGTTAGAATCGTACGAGATGATGCTCGCAGTCACCTCTGCGAACGAAGCCCAGTCGCTCGTTCTCCCCATATGGCAAGCACTCACACCTGCGGTGCCCGCATGACCTCATCAGCAGCTGAGCCTTGTATGTCTGGGCCCGCAGCCGGCCAACCAGGTGGATTTCAATGCAAATCGCACACTGCACCCTGGTGCTGCTTGGCGACCCTGCGCCTCGCGCGCAAGCGGGTTGCCTCGGCGGGATTCATTCCACACAATTTGGTTCCGTTCCGAGACGTGTTACAGAAGACGGAGGCCAGCATCAAACATCTCACACACCGGTTTTTACATGTGTGGCACCGCGCAAGCGGCTCTTACATCACACGACCCAGCCAAGAGATCTGGAATCTGGGGTTGAGATCTTGTTCGTCTGCACATGCTCAGAAGTTGATTGGCTTTTGGTGAACCCTGGTCATTAACCCCCATGTGCCCCCGCCCAATGTGTGAATCAAACTCCTAAAGAACAAGTCATGAGCCTAGACGATGCAGCCGGTATCTCCTCCTAGCAAGCCAGCCATTTACTCCTCCCGAAGCTCGGCAATGCGAGCCTTGACGCGCTCCTGGCGCTGCTCATAGGTGAGCTTGCTCTTCCTGTACTTGAGCGACTCCTGCTTCCACTCCTCCTTGGTCTTCTTGGGCGCGTCGCTCTCGTACTTCTTGAAGGGGTCCTCACGGATGGCCGCGTGGGCATCGGTGTAGAGCTCCTCAAGGGCGTCGGCCTCGACCTCGTCCTCAATGTACTTGACGAACTGGCCCTTGTACCGCTCCTCATCATCGTCGGCGAGCGTCTCCATGTACTCAGCGACGTGGCCGCCAAGGATGTACTTCTTGAGGGTCTCGGCGTCGAGCTCCTCGGTCTCCATGTCGAAACCGGGGAAGCGGTTCTCGGAGTGGGGGACGAGGATGCCACCGTCAGAAGCGCCCTTCATGACGCCAAAGACACGGGCACCGGTCGAGGTGCGGGCAAGACCGACATCGAGGTTGGCCTTGAAGGGGCGGCGCTCGCCGTCGTCGGTCTCGGCGGCCTCGGTGAGAGTGTACTCACCATCAGCCTCCTCGACACCAGCGAAGTCACCGTCCAGGCCGAGCTTCTTGAGGACACGGCGGGCGAGGAGCAGGCCGGTGGCGTAGGCGGCGGCCCAGTTGGTCAGACCGTGCTCGATGCCATAGGCGCGGAGCTCGTGCGAGTAGGCAGCGGCGAAGACCTTGTCACCGTTGATCTCGGAAGTCACGATCTGGGTGATGATGTCGCGGTTGGTGAAACGGACGACGAGGCGGTACTTGGGCGCATTGTACTTGTTCTTGGCCTGGGCGATCAGGCGCTTGCGGGCATAGTAGTCGGTCTTGCCCTCTCTTCTGCGCCTGTACTTGGTCTGGAAGCGGCTACGCAAAGTCAGCACTCGCCTGAATATTTCCCAAACTGTTTTCTTTGGCGAGAACTTACCTGTAGTACGCGCTGTTCTTAACCAACTTGTGGAAGGCCTGGTTATCGCGATCCCCGAGTCAGCAATTTGCGCTTCAGAATATTTCCCCCGTCCGAAGCATCTTGCATTGACTCTCCAATTCCATCGGTATGTACTGGGGAGCCGATTTGGCGTGGTTAACTCACCATTTTGGCGGTTTGTCGATGGACGATGCGTTCTGAGGCAGGTCGACACACGGGATGCAAAATCGAGAACGAAATTCGCGGGCAGTAATATTTCGTGGGCCAAATTTCACCCCACAGCCCTAAGCTGGACTGGGGTGGGGGACGAGGGTGTGGAGGGGTTGGCGACGAGAGCAAACTTACATAAGCGACAAGTTCTTGCTTCTTGCAGGGTTAGGGTCCAAATTAATAGACCAGTCGAAACGGAACCTGAGCCGAGGTTCGGCCCCGCTCAGCCCCGGCTCGGCTTGCTTCAACACACACCGCGCCGGGTTGATTACATCTCTCACGATGATGACTTGTTTACTATCAAACTTTTGGCATCACAATTGTGGAATCACGTAGCAGTAGTCTGTAATGCTCTCTGAAGAATTCCCTGTTGAAGTCATTCTCGAAGCCATCGACAACATGGCAACCACAACCTCTCCCTCCAACAAACGGCCAAAAGTCATCCTCTTTGACATTGGCGGCGTGTGTGTAAGTCGAGCCATCATCTCACAAAAACGCCCTCCCACATTCCCTCCCCCCCTCATCCATCCTAACATTCCCACTCCTCAGGTAATCTCCCCCTTCCAATCCATCCTCGACTACGAACTCAGCCTGGGCATTCCCCCAGGCTGGATCAACTACTCCATCTCGCGCACGGCCCCCTCGGGCTTCTGGCACCGGCTCGAAACGGGCGCCATCCCCATGGACGCGGCCTTCTTTGCGGGCTTCAACCGCGACCTGCACGACCCGGCCCGCTGGGAAGCCTTCTACCGGGCCCAGCAAGCCCGCAACCCAGCCCTCCCCAAAACCGTCCCACCCCTCCCCAAACTCGACGGTGAATGGCTCTTCTTCGACATGATGTCGTCGGCGCGCGCCCCCGACCCCTGGATGTTCCCGGCCCTGAAGGCCCTCAAGGCCAGCGGGCGGTATGTGGTGGCCGCGCTCAGCAACACGGTTATCTTCCCGCCCGACCACGAGTACTCGCGCGGGGATTTCTTTGAGGATCCGCTCCGGAGCTTGTTTGATGTGTTTGTGTCGTCGGCGCATGTCGGGCTGCGGAAGCCGGACCCGGAGATTTATCGGCTGGCGCTGCGGAGGGTGGATGAGTTTGCGAGGGCGAATGCGGATTCGGAGAGGGGGAGGGCGTTGGGGTGGGCGGAGGGTGTGCAGGCGGGGGAGGTGGTGTTTTTGGATGATATTGGGGAGAATTTGAAGGCGGCTAAGGCGGCTGGGTTTGGGACCATCCGGGTGCCGCTGGGGAGGGCATATGAGGCGGTCGAGGCGCTGGAGGGGGTGACGGGGTTGGCGTTGGCGGGTGACCACCCCAAGGTGCCTATTAAGCCGAATTATAAGGGGAGCAAGGCTAAGATTTGAAGACTCGGCTTAGTAACCTGGCGTGGGTTTACTCTGAGCGTGCCGAAGTTGCTATGAGGATTGTATGAAATACCCTAATCTTTCTGTTATTGTACCTCAACTTGTTTTTTTATTCCACTTTCTGTTGACTGCTACTGAAGTTTCGATTTTCAACACAGGCTGTTAACTAGCCCCTATTGAGACTACTATGATACGGTTTACATTCGCTCCTCCCTGACAACGATCAGAGACGACGCCGATAAATGAAAACGTAAATCAAGACTCTGCTGTGGTAATAAACAAAGCTAGTTTGGCTCAATCGCATCATGAGTTAAGTTTCATTCGTAAATTCCATTGCCGATCTCTCGGTAAAAAGCGGTTACTTTATTTGTTCCCATCGTCATCACCTCATTGCCAAAACACCGACATGCATCTTCTCGGCTTAATGGAACCAACACGGCAATCATACCCCCTCCAAAACGCCCCCAGCAACCCAACAAACCAAAAGACAACAACCTCAAGGGGGATCAAGCCGAAACAACCCCCTGCCTTCCTCCCCTCCCCCTCCCAGCACCACCCCTCCTCTGCTGGCTCTGACCAGGCCGAGCAAGAGTGTACTTGGCAAAGGCCCTCGCGAGCGCCTTTTTACAGCTGACCTTCTGGCTACCCACAAAACTCTCGACGGTGACGGCAATGGCACGGTCAATGTCCTGCGATGTGCAGTACTCAGACAGCCGCATGCGGCAGAAGGCCTCCGAGATGCGGATGATGGCTTCCAGATGACGGACCTACGGGGGTTAGGCGTTAGTATGTTCTGATCGGGCTCGAGGAAAAGGGGACGGAAAAGGGGGTAGGCATAACATACGGTAATGGGATAGGCGCCCGTCGCTAAACTCTCGCGGCGCATGTCGGCGAATAGGCGGGCAACCTTGTCCTCATCCATGTGGTAGAGCTTGGGCGAGCAGCGATCGCGCGCGTACAGGATGTACTTGCGCAGCAGCTCCTGGGGGATTTCGCCTTCCTTGTTGCGTTCCGCAGCAGTGGATTGGGTGTCGGTGCGCGCGGAGTCGGCCTCAACGTCCATTGAATCACCATTGCTGGCCGCCGTTCCCTGGGTGTGGTGGTTCGTCATGGGGTGGCTGCGGCTGTGAGAACCGACGATGAAGCGCGCCAGTCGCTCGTCTTCCTCGGGCTCTACCGTGTCGCGGACGACACAAAGGATGTCGAAACGGGAGAGAATGGGCTCGGTAAGTTCGACGTTGGCAGAGAAGGGGATGGTTGAGTTGTAGCGCCCACCAATAGGGTTGGCGGCGGCGATGATGCCGCAACGGGCTTGAAGTGTCGTGACGATACCAGCCTTGGAGATGGAAATGGTCTGCTGTTCCATGGCTTCGTGAATCGAGGTACGATCCTGGTCGTTCATCTTGTCGAACTCGTCGATCAGGCAAGTTCCCTTGTCGGCAAGCACCAGCGCACCGCCCTCGAGCGTCCATTCGCTTGTCAACGGGTCTCTCCGGACACTAGCCGTGAGACCGACGGCACTGGCACCTTGGCCAGTGGCAAAGACGGCCCTGTGGGCTGTCTTCTCGACATACTTGAGGACTTGGGATTTGGCGGTACCCGGATCGCCGAGGAGCAGCACGTTGATGTCACCTCTGATGTGATGAGCATCTCTAGTGTTCTTGGCCACGCCACCGAAGAGAGACAGGGCGACTGCCGTCTTTGATGTCGGTGTGCCCGTAGATACTCGGGGCAATCGAGTTGACGATCTTGTCGACGATATGGGGGTCCTTAGATAGCTGACGGATTTTGTGTTCGTCCTCCTCGGTCATGCGGAAACCGGCCAGCTGATCGTGCGACTTGACGACATTATTCGCCTCGAGGATGGTGGCAAAAACGGGGAACCCGTTGCGGTTGTTCAGCTGAGCGTCGTAGTTGTTCTGGTAGACACCCGTGACCTCGATCTCCTCGCCGGGCTTGGCCTTGTCAATGAGATCCCAGAGCAAAATCACCTCGCGGTGCCGGGGAAGACGTCCCGCGGGAACGGTGCCCGGTGACTCCTGAAGAGTGAGCTTTTGATAATTCCGGTAGACGGTCTTCTCCGAATTGAGGGAGAAGGGTCCGCGGGACTGGCAGCTCTGGCAGTACGAGATCTTGACTTCAACGTTCGACTCTTGCTGGAAAGGGCCCAGGGTGATGCCGCACTTGCCACAGTCAAACTTGACGTACTTGAGCTGCGGGAAAACACCCGATCGCCTAGTCACGACTCCACTGACTCGCACAAGGCAGTTGAGGTGCGATTGGCGAAGCTGGCGGAGGGTGTAGTGAACAGGGAGGTCAAAGATACGAACGTGGATTTCGGAGTGGATGCGCTCGTAGTCGGGGTAGTGGAGCAGGACAACGTCCATGGCCACTTGGTCGAACAGCTTGAGCATGGCGGCCGGGGCGTTGGCAAGGAAGTAGGCCAGGATGGCTTTTGAGGTAGAGAGATGCTCGTATGATACCTCTAGAGACTCGGCGTTGATTTCACCAAGCGTGCGGATGCGGTTGCCATAGACTGAGGAGCCGCTGTCGTCGGTGTACTCGGTCAAAAACGCTTTGAACTCTCTCTTGATGGTCCGCTGCACAGCTGGTTGGGCCACCCAATCGGTCAAGCTGGAAGCCTTGACGTCGTGTAAGGCTTCTAGCGAGAGTTCCTCATCCATAATGTCGCCGTCCATGTCCTCATCCGGATCCTCATCGTACCGATGCCTGCGGCGGCGGGGCTGGGCCGTGAGGTCAATATCGCGGTCATCGTCCTCACCAGGCAGAAAGGCAGCGGGGATGCGCTGCCTCCGAGCGACTTCGCGATCTCTGCGGTTGAGTTGGGCCTCCAAGCGGCGCCTGTCCCCCAGGTTCATGGCATCAAATTCGCCTTCGTCATCGAGGTCGATCCCTTCGTACGCATCGTCGGCCCTGTCGTTGTAATCTCGCTCAAAGCCCTCCCGGAACAGGTCGACATCGTCCTCGGCCATCTCATCGAGGTCGTCGATGTCATCTTGGATCTCGACGTCCTCCTCGATGTCGTCTTCGTCGTCACCGCCATGTGCAATGTTGAAGGCGGGTGGTGAGGAGGGCATGATAGGGCTCGACGCACCGCCGACCGAGGAAGCGGCATCGTCACCATTATTGCGGGCTCGCTTCCGGCCGGCTCTACCAGGTGGCATGCCTCGGTTCGCCGAGGAGGGGTGCTCGCGAAGCGGGGAACTGAGTTTGTCGGTTAGAACAAGGTTCGAGGCCGGGGATGTAAAAGCGGGGGATGGGGGGTGTAAACATACCTCATTTTTTTTGTGATATTCCCGGAGATTATGGGTTCAGAAATCGAAAAACTCAAGGTATTTCGGCCAGAGACGGGCGCTGTAGTAGTTGAAGTGCAGAAGCACTGGCGACGGTGATTATCTCGGGGGTTGTGCGGAGGGAGTGGAGGGATGCAAACTGACGGAATTGGGCGTCGAATTGCTTGCTTCCCCCTGTTTTTCGCGTCGCCCACTCAGTTCAGGGCAACGCGCTTTCGCGATACCGCTAAGCCTGATTGGGGTGGTCGCGTAAAGTGGTTGCTGGGGGTGGGGTCCTTCGATAAGATACCATTTCCGGCATTCATACTGTGCAGTGTATCATTGAAACCGACATCCCCAACACCTCTTCCTCTTAAAAGATAAAATCAACTATCCCCTCTCAAAACGAAGCCTCTTAGCTCTTGATACAAGTTGAATGCCATAATTCTGGCAGGAATTTAACAATTCTCTTTTGTCGGCTGACCACAACAATGGATTCCTCTGTTTCTCAACCGTCTGTCGCCGACAGTGGCGACGCGCCTGTTGCGCGTACCAAAGCACGGACTGATAGCATTTCGCAAAGATCGGATGATTCGCAAACTGCTGCTGAGTACGTGTCTTTGAATAGGATAAAGCCGGGTGTTGATTCAAGAAAATCTAACTTGTCTCTAGCTTTATTCGAGATCAGATGCAGCTCGAGGCTGATGCCCGCGAAGCTTTGCCCTACGTACGATCATCGCCGTATTGACGCCCCAACCCCGACTAACGCGTTTCCAGAGTATTGAACACTGCACAAATCCCCTTGGCCCTCTTCGACAGAGCGTCTTTGCCTGCCTAACCTGCAATCCTCCGCCCGCCAACCCCTCCGATGCCTACAATGCTGCCGGTGTCTGCTACGCCTGCTCGGTCCAGTGCCACGGCGAGCACACCCTCGTCGAGATCTTCACCAAGCGGAACTTCACATGCGACTGCGGCACTACGCGATTCCCCGAGTCCAGCCCGTGCAACTTGCGCATCAACCCGGAGACGAACACCAAGGGAGGCGTCCATTCGGAAGAGCCCAACCCGAACAACAAGTACAACCAGAACTTCCGAAACCGCTTCTGCGGCTGCGAGTGCGATTATGACCCGTTCGAGCAAAAGGGTACCATGTTTCAATGTCTCGGGTTAGGCACACACGAAACGGGTGGCTGTGGCGAGGATTGGTGGCATCCTGGGTGTGTGGTCGGGCTGGGCCCGAACTGGTTTGAGGGTCTGGAGGCGAATAAAGTGAAGACGGAGACCAAGGATACGAACGGCAACCTTCCGACTATTAGCGAGGATGCGGAGGCGACGGAGAAGGATGGCAAGGCAGCGGGTGAAGGAGGAGACGAGGACGACAATGACCCCCCGCCTCCCCCAGGTTTTCCGGCCGAGGACGAGTTCGAGAGTTTTCTCTGCTACAAGTGTGTCGAGGCCCATCCCTGGATCAAGAGATATGCTGGCACCCCCGGCTTTTTGCCGCCCGTTTTCTCCAAGCAAAGCGCTACGTCACACGAGTCTACTTCGGCAGCGCCCCCTGTTACCACCAGCAACGGAGAGTCGAATAGCGGTTCCAGGAAGCGCAAAGCCGACGACGAAACCGATTCCCAGACCTCCAAGCGGCCCAGGAGCGAAGTCGACACTAGCGAACTAGCAGAGCCATCATCCACAACAACAGCAACAACACTCACCAACCCGCCACCCTCAACGACCTGCAAACTCACCACCCTCCCGCCACTTCCCGAATCAACTACCCCCTTCTCCCTTTTCCTCACCTCCACCTTCCGCACCCACCTCTGCCACTGCCCTGCCTGCTTCCCGCTCCTGGCCCCGCACCCCCAACTCCTCGAAGAAGAAGAAACCTACGAACCCCCCACCTCAGAAGACGGCGACGGCGGCAGCGCCAACAACAACAGCGAGGGCAGCCTGTACGACCGCGGCGAGTCGGCGCTGCGCAACGTCGACCGCGTGCGCGCCATCGAGGGCGTCATGGCCTACCAGCACCTCAAGGACAAGCTGATGCCCTTTTTCCAGCAGTTTGCCGAGAGCAAGCAGGTCATTAGCGCCGAGGACGTCAAGGGCTATTTTGCCAAGCTGCGTGGTGATGAGGAGGCGATTCGGGAGGCGGGGGCGAGGGCTGAGAGGGAGGGGGCCGGTGGCGGCGGGGGTGGTGGTCGTGGGGATGAGAGGCGGGAGGAGAGCGGTTATTGATTTGGTTGATTGATTCTTGGAAGCTGGTGTTGGGACTGGTTTGGGATGGAGTTATGGGAGGTTAGCTGCTTCAGGGTTGGCGGTGCTTGGCTTACTCTTGGGTTTATGCTACGGTGGCCGGATTTGTGCCTTCTTCAACATATATCGAGTTTTAAACGCTGATGGGGGGATCAGTTTGCTACGGCGGTAACTTGGGGTGTGTTGGGATACTGGGAAAGTATTATATTATATGGAAGGGGGACATGACTACATTTGACTATGGCCCTGCTTCAACGCTAGGCCCAATGCCGGAAAGAAAGGCAATGTATTGCAGTTGATAATCGGAACCAAGCGGTTAGTGGCTCAAGCTAAGTGTTCAACTACCATTCAGCTTTGTGCCTACTCAACCCCGCCCCAGTAACCTCCCTCTTATATTAATACAGGTAGTTAAAATCTACCACGCCCAAACACGACGACATGCTCATTCATCGTGTACTGAACGTCCCTCTCGTACATAGCGCTGCTCTCCAACCTCTTATTCTTCTCCGCTGTCCTCCCCGCCCAACGCAACGTATATATGACCACCCCGCGGACCAAACCCGTCACCATTACTCCCCGAAAGCAAACAAATCACTCACCACACATCCACAAAGCCAAATTACTTACTACTCGAATACGTATCATAATTAGTCAATCTCCAATCTCCGCCCCATCTATCAACCCATCCATCCCTCTTCCAATCCCATCCCATCTAGGACCATGGCAGGAGATGCTATGTGTATCATATGTAGTAAGTAGCCCATCCGCATCCTATCCCCAATCCTTCCAGCGCCAATCTAATGCAAACTCTCGTTTCGTTACCGAAGCAAGACGAAAATGCGGTATGTGAATCCGGGGGTGTAGATGAGATGTTCTGACGATGAGGGAAGTGAGAGAAGAGAGAAAGAAAAAGGAAATGGGGCGCGTGGGTAAACAAACAGAACTCCGAGACGAGACGAAACTCCTGAGAGCATACAGTAAACACAAACGCCTTAAGTAAAGCTTGATAATGTCCTCTCAACTCCGACTCCAACCTATGATGCTTCCTATCCCAGCGTTCCTCATTCATTACTCGACCCCAAAAGGCAGCACACCCACGCCGAGGCGCCGATTATCAATGCTTTTTGTATTTCTGTCGACAGTTAGTTAGCACAAGGCAGGCCACGCAAAGAAAGAAAGAAAGGACCAGAAAACTCACCGCGTCAACCCGCTTCCGATGCATCGGATCCAACGAGTTCGTCGCGCCCAGCAGTGTCTGCCCAATGGCCTTGGTGGCACCGATCGCCGGCCGGAGGATGATGGTAGGCGCCTTCTTGAGCACCGCCGCCGCAGCCCCCTGTGCGCCTTCGCTTTCCATGATTTCGGCGGGGACGGCGATGATGGCGTCCCTGGCAACCGACAGGTCCCGCGCCAGGCTGGCATACGCGCCACGCACGCCCTGGACGATGCCGAGGGGCTGATCCGCGTACAGGCTGAACTTGCGGTTGATTTCCTCCTCGTACTCGGCCTCGTCCCAATCATCGCCAAGCACGGCGGCGACGGCTGCCGCGTTACTGCTGCTCTCCCCGGTCTGGGGCACGAGCAGGCCTTCGGCACCCTGCAGGACGTTTTGGGTGCCGATGGCAAGCTTGGCTCCGAGCTTGACGACTTCGGTGCCGGTCGTCTTGGCAAAGGCGGTGGCACCCTTTCTGAGGCTACGCACGATCCGGCCGTCCTTGCGGTACTCGCGGATCGGGATTTCAATCAGGTCTCGGAAGCCGGAGCCGGCGTTCACGAGGGAGCGTACGGGTGCCAGGCCAGCGAGGACGCCGGGCAGCTGGTTGCGCTTGACATCGACAGTCCAGATATCGTTGAGCTGATCACCGAGCCGGTCGAACCCAGAAACACCGTACAAGATGACACGGCGCAGAACTAGCCGGGCGCCTTCGAGGATCATGAAATTCATAAACTCTGTCGTTTTTCCCGAGCGCAGGCCGGCGTAGTCAACTCGCTTTGGCTTGAAGTCCAACTGGATTGGGATGCTGTTGACCACAATCCGTTGGATGAAGGGGACGTCACTCGGGGACGCGTGGATCGGCGCCGTTTCGTCTCGGAACGTAAAGAACCTGGTGATAAAGTCGAGGGCGTCTTGATCAACATGCAACCTTAGGGGCAGAATGGTGGCACTGATGACCATCTCGGTAGCCGGTGTATCTGCCGGCTTTGTGGTGATGATTTCGGCGTGCACCATGTCGGCGCCCAATTCACGTTCGCCGGCGTCGAGGTCATACGTGGCAAACTTCTTCCACGTCGACTCCGGGACATGGTCGAAAACGTCAACGTCGCGGAGCCGGATGTCAAGTGAGTTAACTGTCTCCCCTGAGCCGGGCGGGAACATGACCACGTCTGCGCTCACGCCCTTGAGCTCGAACGTGATTTTGTGGCGCCTGCTCCGATCTAGCCGCAAACTCTTGGATCTGCGGCGTTGCCCGGCCGCACGGAGTGTCGAAGTTGTGACTGTCGAGGTTGCGATCGATTCTGTGTCTCCGAAATCGTGCAAGCCGTGGTTGATCGCCTGGGCGAGCTCCTTGGGATCACGGTTGGACGGAATGCCAATATAGATGGAATTAAAAAGACAGTCCCCAATGATGGGTTCATCCTCGCCGAATTCTGGGTCGAATCCTCCCCTGCGGTCTGTTTTGGCCCGCCGCTCATATGCTTTTGCCTCCACCTCCTTTACGGCTTTGGCGATGACCTCGCGCGTGCGCTCCCAATCGTAGCCATCGAACAAGTGCCAGATGACATGCACATCACGAACGCAAAGCTTCAAGGGGCTGCGCTGGAGCTTGATCTCATTGTGCTGGTCGTACCTGTCCGTCTTGGAGTCCCAGCGATGCGCAGTGCCGCGGCCAACCGGTCCCTTGTCGAAGTAGTCGTCTGTGATAGAAAGGTCACTGCTGCTGATCTCCAGCCCACTGCTGCTTGGGTTATCTAGGCCAGCCGTGCTAAGAAGAACTCCATCGTTCGTGTCCTCGAATTTGGTGGCCCCTTCTCGGAGCATCGAGCTAGACGTTGCGTCAAATAGCTCTTCCTGGACGATGTTCTCTTCGAGATACTGCGAGTCAAGATTCAGCGGGCTATCACTTGGTCCAGCGTCAAAGTCTAGGTCGCTATCGGCATCATCTCCAAGCTCCTGGGGGACATCGAAGTCGTTGTCAAGGTCGTACTCGCCTTCGGCTCGGCCGAATGTCTCCGCCCTGATAGAAGCTAGTAAGTCTTCGACGGGGAAGACTGTCGTCCGATACTTGATCTCCGTGCTCGGCGGCGTAGGCGGTGTCAGAGCGTTGGCCAGCGTGATAAGAGTTTGCGTCGAATCCGCACAAGTTTCAAGGACCAAAAGATCGTCGCGAACTTCAACCTCCAACTGCGTATCACCTTGTGAGTCCCTTGAAACTGTCACTGTTGCCTTTGCTGACGAAATCTGGCAAATGTTGACGTATCCCATTGTACATAACTCGGCAACTTGTGTAGAAATGACAACCGGCGGGCGTCGCGACGTCGTAAAACGGACACCGGGCGATTCCAAGATGGATATGTCGTCAATTAACAGGACAGAAACTCGCTTCATGGTCGTTACCGCAACGAGTTCTTGCGGCCCTGGCACCATCTCAAGATGAGCGTCGGTGAGAGCGACGGTCAACTTGGACGGCAACGCGAGGGGGTTCAGGCCGATGAGGCAGTCCCGGAAGGCGACATCCACCTTCAGCGACCTCGGAGCCTTGGCTTGGCCCGTCGACGTCAACGACCCCGAAGATGCTCTCTTAATGACCGTATGGGCTTGTTCTCCCAAGCTCGCAACGGATGCGGCCAACCCGGCTTCGTAATCCTCCGGCGTAACATCTTGGCCGAGGTTGAGAAGATCCATGATGGTAGGAACCCGGTACTCTAAGCCCAATCCCATCAGCTTGATCTTGAGCACTGGTTCCATGTCATCGATCAACCTCAACCTAAAGACCGGCAAATTCTGCCAAGGACCAGTTTGCGGCGGCGGCGAAGTCACCACCAGCTCCTCAATCTTGTTCCGTGTAACCGCGATTTCGCCAAGGGCGACAGCGGCCAACTGGGGCATTGAGATGTGTGCCACTTCTAGGTCGGTGAGCGAAGTCAGAATGGCGCCGAACCGGCCGCCAAAATCAACACGGCATTCGGCATTTTTGACATGGCATAACGTGAGAAGCCCTGGCCGATCATCCTCGGGGAGATATTTTGCAACGGTTCCGAGCTTAGCCAAGTCATCGATCAAACTTGGGAGGCAGGTGAGTTGTGGCAGGTTACCTGCGTCAAATCTGACCTTACCGATGGCCAAGGAAAGGACAGAACCTTTTCTGCGTTGCCTCAGTAGCGTGTCAACCATAATTTCGTCTTCATCCTCGTCAAACTTGTTGCTAGAGGGAGTGATGAGTTCGAGTAGCCTCTCAAGATCCTTGGCTCGGGGCGACGGCAGGAATTCGACTCTGGTGTCCAAAACCTCGCTTACGATAGGGGGTTCGGCTCTCGAATTTTTGAAGTATGGTCCTGATAGTCGTATCCTGCTGAGATGTATCCCGATGCCGCCTTCTCGGCTGACCAATTTGAACGCGCTGGTATTCAGCATCACACTACAATCCTTGCCCAAGACATCAACCTGGAGGCCGTTGATGCGCAAATCGGTCTTATTCTCCCTGGTGACGGCCTGGTCATCGGGGTGGACCGGCTCATCAAACCGGACACCCTTGGGTTTTTGAACTGGGTTGGCCGGGCTTTTGTCGGCTCTCGACGTGTTTGCGGTGATGGAAGTCCCCATGTTAAGGAAACTGCTGAGCCCGCCAAACCAGCCGAACACCTCGTCAAGTTTTTGGAGATCTAGTTGGACATAGAGGGGCAGGGTGTTGACTTCTAGCCGCGAAATCTCGGGTCCCATCGTCGCCTTGACCGAAATATCCTGACCGGCGGAGGGAAATGTGTTTGCAACAGACTCGAACATGAGAACAGAGCGATCAAATGAGACGATGTCGTCATTCGCATACCCAAACTTTAGTTTCTCGATGCTGAAGTCCATCTCCGTCTGCGGACCGTCATGGGAGACTGAACCCCTGAGATCAACAACCTGAGCTTGGAGTAGTACATCGGAACTCAGGTCTGGCGTGCTTTTCTCGAAGAACCTTTGAGGGACATCGGCGACGCCTGCAAGTTTCTCTAGGAAAAGGACGGACAACTGTTCGACCGTGACTTTGACATCCGGGGATGCCGAAGGCGGCTTCGCTGCTGTAGGGCCCGCAGCATCCTTCGACCCACCTTGAGCTGCTTCAAGGAGCTGGGCGACAACCATGGCTAGGAGAAACCCAATTGATGCGTCGAACTGGATCTCTACGGGCTTCAGTACGATTTCAATAGATGGGTCGATGGGTGTTGTTTCTCCGGCTGGTTCGTCGGCGGGTGTAGGTTTGGGGCTCGTAGCGGCCGCCGAATGCATGGAGAAAGCTCCTGGAATGTTTGGCGATATTGATTTGCCGTCATCAGGGGTATCGATCTTGACGTGTTTGTGACTCGACGGAAGGTAGATCGAGATAGAGCTCAGCGATAGGAGTTGCTTTACCAGGCGCGTCGGCCCTCGAGGGGTGGGTATGTCGTCTTGTGGGGGTTCGGGTACCTCTGCCGAAGAATCCTGTGCATAGAAACTGGGGGAATTTCTCTTCTGGTCTTGAGATGGCTGCTCAGGCGAAGGAATTCGATCCGGTTGGGGTGGGTCAAAGGACCCATCGTAGGGGGCCGCCTGGGTTGATGTGGACGGCCCGGCTTCAGTTTCGCTCTCCTCCGCGTCGTCAAAGGCATCCCAGGCGCCCGGCATGCCGGTGCGCAGCCCCTGGGACCCCGTCTGTGAAAAGGCGCTCATATACATGCTCTCGGCGTCCTCGTGGCTATATATGTGTGATTCGGCCAAGTCGTCTCTTGCCGAGCTGCCTGAGCTCCGATTTGTAGAGCTGGAATGAACGGAAGCTGCAGGAGACGGATCATTGGAGAGGGGGAATCCCTCAGGAGGGCGAAGAAATGGCACCGATTGCGCCTCCCGCTCCGCGGTCGACCAGATTAGAGGCGAAGGCTCGAGAACCGCCGACTTCGCATGATCAGTGATGGTTGGCGGAGGCGAGCCGCGGTAAAGAGAGGCCCTCGGGGTAGACAGGGGCGACGCTTCGTCGGCCTCATTTGGTTCGTTGCTGTCGCCAAAATCGTACGGGATATTGAACGCAGCTTCGTTGTCCTGTAGGTGTTGGCTTTGCGGGAGGTCATCGGAACTGTCTCTTGAACCGGCCATTGCACTGGAGCCGACACTGCGGGACAGCCCGGATGGATTAAAGGCGGTGGTTTCGTTATCAACGGGCGAGCGCGGGGCCACAGGCGATCGCGAGGCCGATGACGAGGGCATCGACGCTGACCGAGCCAGCGAGGAGAGAACGTTTGTCTCGGTGATCAAGGCCGCCCGAATATTATCGAGTAAAACATGGCGTTTGCCCTCTTTGTGCACGATTGTGGAGGCCTCGTCTGGCGTTTCTGATGTTGAAGTTACGCCTTCCACGTTGATATTATCCAGGGATAGCTGGAAAGTGACGGGCTCCGGAACTGGGGAATTGGAATCAACCGCAACTTCGACATCCGCCTGAAATGTAACACTCTGTACGCGAATTTGAATCCTATCCACGATGCCGTGCAGGAAATTGGTCAAGAAAACGGGTAATGAAAGGGGTTGGCCAGTGCCAACCGGCGAGTCGTCGTCGCTTTCCGGTTCGCTAGCAGCCATGGAAGCAGCAAGATCCTGGGTTTCAGCGGCGAGAGCTTGTTCCAACTCCTCCTTCTCCGCCACGGGCTGCGTCTCCAAGAAGGACTGTGCAAGGTCCGCGGCTGTCGGCACGGCCTCAGAACCGGCCATGCCCTTGCCTCTCTTCCCAGCGTCTTGCCGGTCCTTCTCTTTTTTAGATGCGACTTTCAAGCGAATGTCGACCCCATCTATTTCGGCCGTGATGGGGCTGGCGTAGAAGTCCATGGGAATCGTGACGCGGAGAATGAGGACCTTGGCTTTTTGAAGAGAGAAGGCTGGGGGCAGCCCCAAAAGCCTCTCGAGTTTCTACGCCAAAGTGTGTCAATCCCCAGATACAGTGCGAGACGCAGGAGGCACATTAGAGAATCACCCAGAAAACCTACCTGGAGAATTAGTCCAACATCTCGAAACTCTAGAACCGTATTTCGACCAAGGGCAAAGTCGAGGTTCTCCAAATCAAGCGCTTGTGTGTCGAGGAGGTCCAGTCGCGAAAGAGCAAAGCGAAGTAACTGCTTCGCCATCGACGAGCTGCGAAATGATTGAAAGAAAGATGCCATGATGGGCCGTCTGGGGGGTCGGCGTTGTGGCAGTCGCCTTGGGTTGTGGGATGAAAGATACCTATCGACGTGGGGTGAATCGAAGGTGAAGGCGTGGGTGAAGTCGCAGGCACTCGGAGCGAGATGGAAGAGAACCTGGGAGAGGGGCTGGTGCTTTTAAGCGCTATGGATTAGTTAATCGTCCACCAAGGTCGAGAACTTATAACACAAAAGACCGTCCGAAGAGTTCATGGTGAGGCGGGCGTCATCATCTAGCAGAGATCGATCGGTTCTGGGCTCCAAATCGTTCCAAAAATGGGCTAGGTCGTCAGGGCAAGGTTCTTTGGATGGCGGCAAAGATGGAGATAGCTCGGTAACAAAAACAAAGCCTATGTTGCCAGAACACAAGGCGCCGGGTGAAACAGCACAAATTAATGCCGTGATTGTGTTGTGTGATGGAAGGGAAAAGTCAACCAGCGACCGAGAGGTTTGATGAAGGAAGGTGAATGGGCGATGTAGTTAGCAGGGTGTCGGTGTCTGGTGCAAGACAACCACCACCCGTGACAAGCGGCGGTTGAGTTGCTCTGTGGTGTTGGGCAGAGAGCCCAATCAGTTGATCGGCCTTATCACTAGCGTGAGGCGTGGGGTAAAGTACAGGGGGTCGGTGGCCCACATCGGATGCTCTGACACTCCAGATTCGTACGCCATGACTGCATGACTGTGCCAGACTCAACCGTCAGTGCTCCGCCTTTTATGGATGCGCCCACTTCAAAGCTCAAGAAGCTCCAGTTCAATGACAGGTCGGAAAATGGCAATTGATATTGGGCAGACAGAGAGGGGAAATGCAACGAAAACAGGCCCCAGGCCTTCTCCGAGCCTCACATCCGACGTGGCCATACATGAGCAAGGGGCAGTGATTGAATTATCCAATCCACGGCGACTGCTGCCTTGTCGTCATGACTCTAAGCAGTGTATTTCGAGTCGTGCTGCCCTCCTTGGCCAAAATAGGCAATGCCGTGCTCCTCCGGATCAGATGACCCCCCAGATCTCGACGGGATCGCAAGGAAGAGGCAAAGCTTAAACAGAGAGGAAATTCTGGGGTTGGTCCTCAACCACAGGTTTCAAATCCCCAAGATCACATCGCTGTAACGCGCGAAAATAATTAAACCGCCTACCTAGCCTGCACAAGTAACTCCGTTAAGCCGAAAGAAAGCCGACATCGCCAAATCACCGACGGAAACCCCCCGTGCCCTCCCTCCCCGCAAACAGCATCATCCAACGAAGCACAACAACCCTAACCCTGCACCTCACCCCCCTTCTCCCCATCAACCACCCCAACCACCCCAACCCCCCTCTCCTTCTCCCTCTCCCTCGCCCCCCAGTACCCCTGCGTAATCCTCCTCCCCACATGTTCGCCACTCCAATACGCCCCCGTGACGGTACCCAGCGCCACAAACGGCGCGGTGTGCTCGCCGGCCAGCCACACGCCTTCCCTGGGCACGCCGTGGCGCATCGAGACGATGTCCCTGTCGCCCTCGCGCAGGCCCGCCTGGAAGTTGCTGTAGCTGCCGTGGCCCGCGAGCTCGTCGCCCAGCCAGTCGGTGGCGAAGCACGCCGTGGGCTGGCAGGCGGCGCTGGCCTCGTCGTAGGAGGGCAGGCGCGAGTAGTAGGGCTTGAAGTAGGCGTGGAGGAAGGAGTCGCGCTCTTTTTGGGAGGGTAAGGAGCGGAGGGTGGTGGTGAGGTGTTGCGACTGCTCGCCGTAGAGGTAGAAAAGGAGGGTTGGGTGGGCGGCGGCGCCGAGGGAGCCCAGCTCGACGATCTCGGTGAGGTGGCGGTTGGGGTTGGAGTCTGGTGCATAATTTGGGGCGAGCCATTGGCAGAAGCCTTGGACTATGCGGTTGTCGTTTGGGGATGGCGTGAGCCAGAAGGCGGTGCCGAAGGATATGTAGACCTATGAAAGGGTAAGTTTTGTATTCCTGGTATTGGTTATGAGGTGGGACTGGCCTTCTCTAGACTTCCATAGCCAATATTTTGGATTCCATGACATACCCGCTCAGGGAGCGGCGGGTAGAAGGCTTGCAGGTTCTTCTTCAGCCAGCCAAGCGGGCAAGTGACGACAACCTCGTCAAACTCAAAGACTCGTTCATCGGTAGTCCTGACCCTGGTCATGTTATTTTGTGTCGAAGACTTGCCGTAGATCTCGGAGATGCGGGTTTGGTAGTGGATATCCGCGCCCTCGATGGCCGGCTGAGCAACCTTCTCCAAGACTTTGTTGTATGTCCCTGCGCAAAAGAGGTTTTCTGGGACCAGTTAGCAAAGTATGCCAAGGGGGCCAGAAGAGTGTGTCCTACCGCCCTCGATGCACTCTTCTAGCCAGAAAAACTTCAAACTCTGAGTGCTGAGAGGGCTACCGACAAAATTCCCCCATAATTCGGCCATTTGAAGGAGGATCTGCCTTTGCCTCTGATAGCCCTCTTGGCTGTCTGGTATCCTCTTCACGACCTCTTCCTGGAAGAAATCCAGTAATGACCTCCCAGGGTCGATATTCGCGCCATGCTTGTTGGAATGTTCAAAAGCGGCCTCAATAATGTTCCACATCAGGGTCGAGTACTTCTCTCCCTCTTCGGGGGGAAGAAGCTGCCCATCCTCGTCATAAACACACGAATGGTTATCCCAGACGCCAACCGTTGTCTTAGTCTCCTTGACTAAATCCATGATTGGGTTCTCAGTTGTGCCATGGATCCAGTTAGCGCCAATGTCTATCAAATGACCATTAGGCAGCCTCTCTTGGAAGATCCTGCCGCCGAGACGGTTCCTGGCTTCTAATATTGTGACGCGGAAACCATTCCGGAGTAGCACGTCGGCGCATCTAAGTCCGGCGAAGCCAGCACCGACGATTCCGACATGTGGTCTTCTACTTGGGTCGAGGTTTTCGAGCTACCGTGCGTGTTAGCGAGTACTAAGTCCCAACGCTTCCTCGGATCGACTTTACGACACATCGTCTGGTTGTGCACTGTGGGTGTGATCCTAACATGGATTCCGCTCATGGGCAGGACTAAATCAAGGGACTACACTCGCGATGGGTGTTATATACCTTTAGCACCCTATCCATAATACTCAGTCTCCTTGGCGAGGCGCCGTAAAGCCGGGTGGTCTTGAGGTCCTGGTATATCCTTGACGTTTTCTTGCGTGCAGCGCTGGTGACGGACATGGAATGAGCATCCATACTGGTGATTGGAGGTGTGCGGGAGAAAGAAAACGGGTAGGTAGGGATAAGGTTAGGCTCTCGGCTTGAGGAGTAGCTGAATGAAACCGATAGTCTGTTAAAAAGCGCAATGTGTATGTGCCAGGACCTCACAAGCGAGAGACCATGACGGGGATATCTATCTAGACGTGTCTTTTGCGGGGCCAAAGGCCCGGGAGCCAACAGTGCGGTGAAAACCACCCGACCGACCGTGGACGTGGCCGGCGGGCCGGTGCGGCAAGTACCTAATAGCCTCCGAGAGGAAGGCTTATGTGCCTGTGCCTGTGACTACGCCCGGGCCTGTACTTGTGAGCCATGGTGGAGTGGTCTAGAGCGGACTGGCCGCAGAAGCCGATAAGAGCCCACACCCCGGCGTATGTATGTACAAAGTACTCTGTAAGAAAGGGAATGTGACACAAAAATAGCAACTGCTTTTTCCGAGGCACAGCAATCTTGACTATCAGGTGCAGTAATCTGACCATCTGGCAATTCTGGAACGCGGGTAAGATGGGTAACGGGCAGAAAGACCACTGGGTCTAGCCGCGTGCCTCCTCCTCCGTGTTTCCGTGCTTGAGCGAGTGGCCAATGGCAAGCCTGCTGCTGAGCATGCCATCTGACCTCCGGGCGCCTGGGCTAAAGGCCGGCCAAAGTCGGGCATGGGCATGCAAGGCTTGCAACATGGAAGAGAAATCGACTCACAAGAGCCGGATCTTCGGAAGCCTCCGCAAATGAAAATGGAAATGGGCGTGCAATGCGCGTTCGGCGTAACGCATATCCTAAGACAAGCTGGTGAGTGGCTGGATGTGAACATTGTGTTCGGCTCTTCTCAGCTTGGCCAAGCAACGAAGGTCTAGACTATTTGGATAACGGGGCTCGCCGGGCGGAGACGAGAGCCAATTGGAATAATTATCCGGCTGTTATCGGGTTTGCTAGGAGTTGCATGATTTATACTTTGTGCTGTGCATCGTTTAATCGTACATGCAGTCTGCAAAATGCCCCTCCAGGCGCAAAACCCCGATTTTGAGAATCCGTTAGCGGTAGTTATGATCTCCTCGCTAATTACAACATTGAGCCTCGATTAGCGATAAGCCAGTGGGTACCTAGCTTAGGTATGCAAAGAACGTGAGCCTCGACTCAAGAACCGTTCGTCTTGCGCTGAGTTCCAAGGATAAAACAAAACAACGCCAACCTGACAAACGAAAAGGGAGGGACATGGAGAGCGCTTCGTGATGACGCGAGTGGCTGAGACATGTCTTTCCAGGCTTTGCGGGGTGCATTACCCAGCGCCCGAGTGTCAGGTAACTACCTAGTCATCCCAACTTCAAGCCCTACAGAGAAACCATAGATATTGTAGAATTCTCTTGTATCCACTCTCCTCTCCCTCGAACAAAAGCCGAGTCATGAAGGGGATCGGAACCGTTTCTGTCCGCCAGTTTGCCTCCCGCACATCGGATGGATGGATGGAATTTATTTCGCCCGGAGGCACTGGGCCTATAGGGCCTTAGCACGCTAACTACATCCGGATCAAATCGTTTTGCCTTTAACTCGTACAAGCCCCCTACTTCTTCCCTCTTTCTCGCTGCACCTCCCGCACATCACATGCGCAAGCTTCAAGAAGGGCCGGGGTATTAGCGCAGGGTTCCAGCGGCAACCAATCATGGACTCTGCATTACATCTCTTGGCACATTCCCCACGTTGGAGCCCCAGGTTCCCAAAACGCTTGGGAGCCGAGGCAGTCCAAGGGGACGAGCCGAAGCAAGCCTCCCAAGTCCGACCGATCAGCCGGAAGGAGCTCTTGGAACCCTGGTCTTGGTAACCAATGTCAGGAATAAAATGACGGCGTTGTCAGCTCTGCATTTCCAGTGACACTGCCCCTTTTGTTTGTCTTGCTCTGCCCCTCGTGATACCCTCTAAAATCCAATTTAGAGAACGAAGAGTCAAAGAACTGCCGCAACCATGCCTCTCGAAGTCCCCTCCAAGACTTTTACCCGCGCCGAAGTGGCCAAGAACAACACCGAAGACAGCACCTGGTTCATCATTGACACTGTCGTCTATGATGTCTCCGATTTCCTAGATGCCCACCCGGGCGGCGAGGCCGTTCTGCGCCAGGTCGCCGGCACTGACGCCACTATCGCCTTCTATAACCTCCACAGGCACGAGGTGCTGCAGAAGTACTCCGACCTGGCCATCGGCACCATCGAGGGCGAGAAGCAGTCCATCATCACTCCGGCGCTCGGCGAGATCTCGACCGTACCATACGCCGAGCCGCTCTGGCTCACCCCTTCGTTCAAGTCGCCCTACTTCAACGATAGCCATCGCCGCCTCCAGCGTGCCATGCGCGAGTTCACCGACCAGTACATCACCCCCGAGGCCCTCGAGAAGGAGCGCTCGGGCGAGTACGTCAGCCAGGAGCTCATCGAGCGCATGTCCAAGGCGGGCGTGCTCCACATGCGCATGGGCCCCGGCAAGCACATGCACGGCGTGAACCTCCTCAACGGCGCCGTTGACGGCAAGGAGTTCGACTACTTCCATGACATGATCTGCTCGCAGGAGCAGGTCCGGGCCGCGTGCCGCGGTTTCCAAGACGGCAACATGGCGGGCATGGTGATCGGTCTCACCTGCATCCTCAACTTCTGCAAGAACCCCGAGCTCAAGAAGAAGGTGACGGACGAGGTGTTCTCGGGCCAGAAGAAGATCTGTCTGGCCATCACGGAGGCCTTCGCCGGGTCCGACGTGGCCGGGCTCCGCACCACGGCCACCAAGACCCCCGACGGCAAGCACTACATCGTCAACGGCACCAAGAAGTGGATCACCAACGGCGTCTTCTCCGACTACTTCGTCACGGGCGTCAACACGGGCAAGGGCCTCTCGGTGCTGCTGATCGAGCGCGGCGAGGGCGTCGAGACCAAGCCCATCAAGACGTCGTACTCGCCCGCCGCCGGCACCACCTACATCACCTTCGACAACGTCAAGGTGCCCGCCACCAACCTCCTCGGCGAGGAGAACAAGGGCATCTACGTGATCCTGTCCAACTTCAACCACGAGCGCTGGACCATGGCGTGCGCCACCATCCGGTACATGCGGCTGGTCGTGGAAGAATCCCTCAAGTGGGCGCACCAGCGGCTGGTGTTCAAGAAGCGGCTGATCGACCAACCCGTGATCCGGCAGAAGCTGGCCAAGATGATCGCGCTGTGCGAGTCACACCAGTCGTGGCTCGAGACCATCACCTACCAGATGTGCAACATGGCCTACTCGGAGCAGGCCAAGCACCTGGGCGGCCCCATCGCCCTGCTCAAGATGAGCGCCACCCGCGCCGCCCACGAGATCGCCGACGAGGCCGTGCAGATCTGGGGCGGCCGCGGCCTGACCCAGACCGGCATGGGCCGCGTCATTGAGAACTTCAACCGTACGTACAAGTTCGACTCCATCCTAGGCGGCGCCGAGGAAGTGCTCGGGGATTTGGGTGTCAGGCAGGCCATGAAGTTTATGCCCAAGGCGGTGTTGTAGATAGATAGGAAGGGGCGAGTGGGTTTTTGTTGCGAGATCATTCCAGGTTGTTGTTATCGTTGTTGTCGTTGTTGTCGTTGTACATAGGCATCATCATTGAGCATGGTCGGCGGTTAGGCATTTTGGTGTTTTGGGGAATCCATCAACTTTTCTCTCTATTTGCGCGGTTGATTGGCAAACAAGTTTATGAATCGTTGCGCGTGATCAACTCAGCTTACAATACGTACTACACTTCAACACCAAAACGAAAGAGAAGCAGCGTCAGTAACCCCGGGCCGTTATCATTTCTATGGAACCTGAGATGAAGCCCATTTTCGGTCCCATGATCTAGTCGTTAATCCGTGAGAAAGAAAACCGAGAAGCCAGACATTGCAACGAGGCGAATGAATGCAGCGCTCCACCCGATGAGAGAGACTTGAATGCAGACCTGATAAGGCAGCCCTCGCCGTCCCGACGCCAAGATGGTCAAACTTTTCCGTTGCCCGGTGATCCGTAAGTCGTGATGTGATGATGCTTTCCGAATGAAGCGCGGTAGGGCTGTGCTGAGTGTGGGAAAAGGAAAGAAAACAAAAACTTGGGGGAGGGACACAATGGTTCCAAGCCCCGAGAATGCGGCAACAACCGGCCGAGGACATTGCCAACTGAGAGGGTATCCAGGCCACTGAGATACCAGCAATACAACCCGTGGAACTCCGGCGCGCGAGCACCAGACAGATCCACCAGAAAGGTAGTGTATAGCGCACCCGCATGTCGTTCAACCTCCATTGGGGCCGCCAACTACCCAGCGACTCCCCTTGTTATCCTCTTCTACCTCGTTCGTAAAGAGCTAGAACAAATCGCCAAAGGTTGACCGACCGACGAAAGAACCGGGGTCATCGAAGGCAACGGCGGCCGTGTCACGTCCACCACCTAGTTGGGGCACTGAGACTGGACGTGGCCAGGCTGCTGGCACTTGTAACAGATCTTCTCGCCGCCAGTCGACTCCTTGGGGCAGTCGCGCGACACGTGGCCCGAGACGCCGCAGTTGTAGCACTTGCTGCCGTTCACGCAGTCGCCTGTGTCGTATTGTGAGCAAGGTTTCTCAAAGGGAGGGGTACATTCGCCACGACTTACGAGAGACATGGCCGACGCCGCCACACGAGTAGCAGGTCTTCTGGCCGTAGCCACCGCCACCGAAGCCGCCGCCGCCATAACCGCCACCATACGCGTTGCCCTTGCTGCAGTTGCGAGCGATGTGACCGATCTCACCGCACTACATCCAATGGGTTAGCAAAGAAACCGGGGAGCGAATCGATGTCACCCACCTTGTAGCACTCAGCGCCAGACTGGCCACCAGAGTGGCCGCCGCCGCCGTCGGTCGGGCAGTTACGCGAGATGTGACCGGGCTGGCCGCAACGGTAGCAGGTCTTGGTGTCTTTGGGACCCTCAGGGCAGTCACGGCCTGGTTTTACCAAAGTCAGGATGAATTCAAAAGCGCAACGAAGGGCGGGGATACTCACTCATGTGACCCTCGCCTAAGAATCGGAAATTCTCGTCAGTCTGATTCGCCACGATGAGGCTGGACTAGCAGTCAAGAGGAGCTTACCACCACAGTTGTAGCTACAGAGATGGTCAGCAATTGAGCATTTGTGAGAACATATATGGCGGATTGTAGCTTACCACTTAGCCGCACCCCTGTTCGGGCAGTCACGGGCCTAGAGACGCACAGTTAGTGTCTGTAGGGCAACATCGCGATACTTCCTCGTGGTCGATCTCTCCGCGTCCGCCGACGGTTTCATACCTGGTGAGTAGTTTGGCCGCCTAGAATCTCTCATGTCAGACGATCTCTCCCCAACTCAAGCAGGAACGGCGGTTTCAAGTGTTGTGTGGCATGGGTAGTGGTGGTCTCTGAACGCAAGCCGAGGACTTGTCGACGGGCCTGTCGTTGTCCAACCCAATTGCTGGGCATTGGCTGGAATGACCAATTTCCAATTCCATTCGAGGGCCCGCCGCGTTGCCGTAGAGGGAGGCACAGAGAAGCAGCAAGCCGCAGCAAGCGATGGGCCGACATGCGGGCAGCCAAGAACTGGCCATATTCCAGTGCTCCTGTGTGCATTTTATGCTTCCCTTCCCCGGCACAGATCTTGCGAGATAACCCCACTAGCTCCCTGACCAAGGCAGCCGGTGTCGCGATGCTCTGCATCATGCGCGATATTCTCGGGAAAAGGTCTCGGGAATGTGGGCGTGGGTGGCGGCAATTGCGCTCAGAGCCGCGGGGCAAATAGAAGCCAAAGCGAAGGAATTGCGATGGCAAACTCACAAGTAAAGCAGGCCCGGCCCTGGGTAACGCTGGGATCCATCTTGGATAGTGTGGTTTGGGGTGGTAGTCGGCGTGGTGGTTTGGTAGTTCTGCGCAACGCGATTCACCAGTCAGTCTGGTTGGATGTAGTGGCGAAGGAAGTTTCCAATTGTCTGGATGGGGAATTGCAGAGAGTGTTTCGGTATTGGAGAGATTGATTTTGAGTGGGAGGGTGCAAAACCGAGAAGGTGGGGTGACCTTCAGGTGTGGGGTAATTTTCACTGACCAAAAGTGGGATTTCGTGTGGAAAGAATGTGCAACACAAACTTTACCTGCGATTGATAAGAAGTATGTTCGATGTTAGGAAGGGGAAGGAAAGCTGTTGGCGGCAGGAGGGGCACCGAGAACTAAGTACTGTTCCAGGATTCTCGATAAGGCAGGTAAGCCAGGGAGACGAGGCGAGAAACAGATGAATGAAGGAGCGGGTTCACCTGGCAGAAAATGGATTGCTGTGGTTTGAATTTTTTCTGGACGTGGCAGTTTTGTGTGGGGCAACCCCTGCTGATGTTCGACGCCTGGAAAGTTGGCTCACAGTCCAGGATTGTTCGATGGTCTCCCTGCCTGTTTCCCTCCACATGAGCCTTGCCTCCGGGTTGCTGTGGGACGGTGTGGGATGGCGATTGGGACGCGGGCCGGGATACAGAGTATTGAAAACGGCCCCAATGCAGGAATTCTCGGTTGAATGCAGCTTCTGCGACAAATGAGAGGGAACGTGCCAGCTCCTCGTGCCTTCCTTCATCCCCCCTTCCACATCGAGCCTCGGTACTACCTGGGTATCATCGACACAGTGCTAGTATAGCGGGACGGCATCAGGGCGTCACCGGGTCCGGTTTGCCTCCCGTCTGGTCGAGGCGGGCAAGCAATTGGCAATCGCGGTGGTAACTAAAGTAAGGTACCTAAGGTACCTATCATGGAAGCACATCTCATCTGGGTCGGTGTGTTGGACTCGACCCCAGCCAAGCGCGTAGAGCATGCGGGAGACTTGCCCCTGCATCAATGCGGATCTCCTCGTCTGAACTTCCATTTCGTTTCTCGAACTTCCCGCGCCGTCTTAGGTTCTTTGGGGCAGTGCTCCAGCTGCAGTTCGCCAATGCGGGCAGGATACGTGGCTAAAGCCGACTTCTCCATGTACATACATAGTAAGCAGGCGCCTTCCGGGAGTTTGAACTCTGCTCAGTTTCGAGATTCCCTCATCTCTCATGCCCTACCTCTGCCTTTCCCGCACTATATAGCTCTTCACGACGGTTGGTTGTTCGAAATCATCGGACAGTGATCGAGCCAGGTCGTGTGTCATTCGGAAACTTCCTGCCGTTGAGCTTCTCTGCGCCCGGCACCCTCTTGTGGTGCTTCCTCGCACCGACAGGCTATTATGAGGGAAGATCACGGAGACCCAGGGTGATTGTTGGTGTGTCTCCAGGGTGGCTGAACTGGAGCGACGTGCTGGTTTGCTCCGAGCCTCACTCAACCCTTGCGTGCCGCTCGCTAGGGTCACATCATCCCATTCGGGACATCTTCTGGAACTCCGCTGGAAGCATGTTCGCAGATGATTCCTTGGCCGCCTTGTTTGATTATCCGATGTGCAACACTCCAGCAAATTGCGGGTCATTGAAGTCAGTTGATGGGATGGTGGGGTTCCCAAGGATAGGGAAATCAGTCAAATAGCTCTCGTTTACACGTTCGACCGCCCTTCAGCCTGTTGATCCGAGGCCTTTGCTCTCGGCTGAAGCCCGGCATCGCTTTAAGAGCTTGAATGCGGTGGCCAAGCCCGTCAAAGGTTGAGGGACCACCAAGAACCAATCTGTGAGCGGTAGCTGTCCGTAACTCGGCAAGTACGTTATCCGCGCGAGAGGCAAACGACGCATCCAGGGAAAGTAATCACGGGAACTGGAATGGAGTGTCTGTTGCTCAGATGGTTGCATTTGTGGGCATCCCTTTCTCGGGACCGCATCGCGCACCATTGGGCCGGCTGGTTGCATTCAGTCGAGTTGCCGATATTGCTATCCCAGCGGACCGTGGGCCATCAATGAAGACAACGGCAAACGACTTAACCCCAGTTCCATTGCTGCAGACCCGACGGCCCGAACATTTCCGTGTTGGCTGAGCGCATCAATTTTCAAGTCTGAAGTGGCTAGCGGCCAATTCCGTACGCAGAGCAGTGCCGGTGCTCAATTGGGCTTTGTTTGGCAACGAACACACGATAATCCACGAGAAGTAGGGCGAAGAAAGGCTGCTTGCCTCGAGACAACAAGACCTCGACTCGAGATGCAGGGGCAGAACCAACCTCTCAGATCACCCGAAAAGACAAAGGGCGTCGAGGGGCCCTGCGGAATGTGGGGTTGATATCAGCCGATTCAATTGGCGGAACCACAAAAGCGGGAGCCGAGTCCGGACTTGTGTCCTGAAGCGCGTTTCCAAGGCGGGATCTGGCGCGCAGCTGTCCGAATCACATGACAAGGCGCGTCGATTTCCTGTCTTGGCGCCTTTAAACCCCTGTCTGTTCTTAAGAGCGCGTCGCGGGACTCAGCATTTCCAATTCCAGCCCTTCATGTTGTCGTTACCTGTGTTTTTGTCTCGTTTTTTTTTTCATGACAGCGAATATGGACTACTGGCCACGAAAGGGGAGACCTACACTTCTTGCCGCTCTGGAGGCGGCCTGCGATTCAGTGGAGGAAGACCTCGCTGCCGGTGCGTGAAGCGCTGCAGCGTTGCCGAGAGCGGAACGTGCTCTGTGACTAACGTTAATCAAATATGCAGAAATTCAACAGAGGTATGAGGACTGCCATGAAACTCTCCTAGCAGAGGTTGCTCGGCTTCAAGCGGTTGCGACAAGAGTAGACCAATTGGAGAATGAGAACCGGTCTCTTCTCCGGGAACTAGATCAGCTTCGAAGCAGACAAGACACTTCTCTACCTCTAGCAGCGCGCCCTGCGCTTGCGGAGATTTCGACCAACACAAAACTTGACGCATTGGCTACAGGGGCTTCAGAATACGACTCCGAGAAAGCGATAGATTGGAAAAAGAAGTTCTCAAAGCTTGCTGCGCGACACGCGAGTCTCGAACAACGGCAAGAGGAGACACATCGATTGGCGAGGAGGTTCCGGCTAGAGCGGGATGACTGGGTAAAATACGCCCAGTCGTTAGAGGGGAAGATCGCAAAACTAGAGAAGAAGGTCCAGCGTAACAAGAACGCTGATGAACAGCTCCCTCCCTCTAGCAGTGCTAAACCTCGGCCTGCTCCAGCCAACCAAACAGGCGCCTTTTCCGATCGTGCAGTCCTTGATTCGAGCATCGTGGCTAAACCAGAGCAAGCGATTGACCCTAGGTCACGCGGAGATCCCGCCCAAGACCCCAGGGACTCTAAAGAAGTAGCGCCAGCGCCGGGGACATCCTTGCCAGGCTACGCAGGCCCCCTTGACGAAGAGACACAGGATGGAAGCGATGGAGCGGATGACTTGCCGCTACCGCAGGGTACACCCCCGGGTTCTGCGGTCAGGATCAAAGAGGAAACGTCCTCAGATGCCCCAGTCATCGTCTCTGAGAGAACAATACGCAAACGGAAACACACAGATGACGAGGTGGGTATGCCGGCGTCCCCTCGCAGGATCAAGACCGAGCAGAGCAGTAGCTCGGAACCCATCATCACAGGCGAAGCTCCCATTTTTTGTCCGCACGAGAGCATTGACCTCGACGAAGAGGAGCGTGAGATGCCGACGCCAAGGAAGCAGCAGGAATGGGAAAGCAGGCACATCCTTCGAGAAGATAAGGACGTTGCCCCCATAGAGGAGCGCTTAGTCGAAGCACCCTCAATCGAGAAACGGGTGTACACATCAACTCGCGGCTCAGATTCGTACCTTGATCGGTCAGCTACGGCAGCTTTATCTCCGCGCAAGCCGTCAAGAACACACAAGGACCGCGAACGGCCTATCAGAGCAGGCTGGACTTTGGATTCGGGGATTGCGGACGTTGCTGAAGAGACGTTCGAGTCATTCTACGCCCTCAAACCGAGGCAAGTTGGAAACGGGTCGCATGAGACACCGACACATGGGCGCCTACACTCGCTTCTAAACGACAATTCACCGAAGAAGTCTGGTGCTTTCCTCTCACCGGCTCGCCTGCGGCATGGCAGTGCCAGCCCTTGCTTTGACAAGGAAAACATTGAGAATATGGCAGCAGAGGAGACCGAGAAACGTAGCGGCGCTCTTGTTAAGCCGGCCCCGATAGTTAACGCACCCAAGGCCACTCCTCTTCGAAGACATGACAAAGGCAACCCCTCGAAGCCCGGCCGATTGCGAGACCGGCCGCCAGCGGGTTTAAGACCGGAAGACTTCAAGGTTAACCCAAGGTCCAATAACGGGTTTAAGCACGCCTTCGATGAGGTTGTGCGCAGCAGAGAAGAGCGGGCAGAACTCTCCGGGTGCACCGATCCCAACTGCTGCGGCAGACAGTTCCGCGCGATGGCGGAATCAGAGCTTAGCGCTGGCGGGCTTGGGATCCTCTCACGGGTAGCCGACATCAAGATGATGGAGGATTACCTCGGTACCGAGGCTTACCAGCTTGTCGAGATGACCGGCGAGGAGCGACAAGAGACGTGGCTCAAGGCCAAGATCCAGGATTTGGCTAATCGGCTGGGGAGACACAGGCACAGGTTTGCGAGGCGGCCGTCACCTCCAGGGTATTGGAACCCAGATTTCCCCAGCACACAGGAGATTGAAAAGAACAAGGAGGAAGCGGAAAGGGCTGAGAGGAGTCTTGTCGAAGAGAGATGGCGAGAGGCAATGCGACGAGGCAGGTGGCTGTTTCGAGACGAGTAGGATGTTACCAGTCAGTCGGGCAGAAGGTGGGCTTGCATCGGCGGCCACGTCGGGGACAGTACCCAACCACTTAGAAGGTACTTTTATATGCAACATGAGCGCTGTTGGTCGAATAAAACTGGCCACCCAACGCACCCCGTGACTAGGTACACTTTCCGCGTATTTTTCAAGATGAATGACGGTGGCAGTCGATCGATCATTCGTGAGCCCGGAGAGGACGAAGTCGATGTCAAAAGCCCTGCCCAAGATGGGACGACGAGTGGTAAATCGCCCCAATATAGAGCATATATATGTATATATATATATATAGGTGTATATGCGTAGTGTAAAATATAACAGACTCAACCCAAGGCTTTTGTAATATTGCGCCCTTCCAGCCTCTTCTTCTTTTTTTCTGCTCTCTTCTTTTCGGTTGTTCGTTCCGGGCCTCCTCTCTGACTTAATCTTTTTGTCCCCTCTTCATTTTATGTGTACGGGTTTAGGTAGGTATGTCGACCTCGGTCGGTACCGGTAATTACCAACTCTCTTCGTTACCTTAGGTAAAGTAACAACCACCTAACTAAAAAGGCAAGCGGCTCAAGTTGCCCTGGGGTTGTGGCCCGAGCGTCGGTTGGGCGTTTTGTCGCCACTGTGTTTTGCGTTAGCGCTTCTTTGCCTGCGGCCTGGTGGTAAATTTTGGCAATCGTTGTGGAAACCCCAAACGTCAACTACCAACATCACCCGACATCGCCTTCTTTTTGGCATACCTTTACGTTGCTCACCCGCGAGTTGCCCAATACGCAAGATTCTTCGATCCTTCCGTTTAGCTTTAATTGCATCGACCGAAGGAGCAGGCCGGTGCAGGCTTTGGAGAAAGAGCTCACACCGACGACGCACGGTCGCAGCACCCAGCAGCGCAGCACCGTCATAATTCGTAACAGTCAGCAACAACCCCGACTGAACCTCTTGCATCAGCTACCTCATACCAGGGCAAGCGCCATCTCGGTAGCAAAACCCCTCCGTTTCTGAAGCCGCATCGGCTGCTCTTAAATCATTTGAAACGACCCCGACCACAAATCATCCAGCGTCACCATCCCCGACGCCCTCCCGTCAACTCCCCGACGAGTTGCTCTCTCCGACCCCGGCTTCTGCTGGATTTCCGACCCGCGACTTCTCGCCGCGGTGGCCCTCACATCGAGTGAGCAGCTACCGCAACAACCATATCACCACACCCCCACGCCGGCATGATGAACAACCGGGGGCATCTGCCGGCTGGGCAGCAGGTGCAGGGCGGTACTGAGATGGGCCCCGCGCCCGCTGGTGGTCCTCCGCCTCGCCGTGGCGGCCGGTCCCAGCACTATCTGCCGGTCCACGCCTATCACCATGGCCAACACGCTCATCATGGCCACCACCAACAGCATGCAGGCCAGCCCATGTACCCACAAAACTATATGGCGAACCCTTACGCCGGTGGCCATTACTACCCGCCCCCGCATTACCAGAATGGCGCCATGTCCGGTCCGCCCGGCTACATGTTTACCAATAACGGATATGGTCGCTCTCCGCCGGTGATGCAGCACTTCGTGCCTCTACAGCAGCCTTATGGCCGGCAATCCCAACATTCTCCGATTGTCTCATCACCTTATCACCCCCCGCCACCTGTGGCGGCATCCATCAACCCTTCTATCCCACACACCCCTTCGTCGACGCATTCGCACGCTCCCCTTGCTCCGATGACACCTCCAGCAGTCCAGCAGCTATATGAATCCGCTCAACTTCCGTTACCAAACACGGTGCAGTTGCTTCCTCAGCCTACTCAGACCGAACCGCAGCTTGGGTCGCGGCCGGTCCCACAACAAGTAGCACACGTCCCCCGGCAGATGCCGGACCCCGTCACCAAAGTTTCCCCTACGCCCAGCTCGCCACCGAGGCAACCTTTCAGGCCACCGGTATGTTTTAGGCGGAGTTGCTTTCATTCCATATGCATTCGGACCTCGCACTGACCCCTTGATCAGCTTCCCTGGCTCTCCCGGCCTGAACTCCCATTTCCTCAGCGCTTGTCGAAGCTGAGAATGAGAAAGAAATTGCTGGGCGCCGACGCAGAGAGGGTAGAACTACCTGAACAGCACGCTCCCGGTACTGAGCCGGTTGCCCAAGACGAACCACAAGACGAAGCACAAAACTCGGCCGAGGCTTCGCAGCGCATCGCTGGTGCCCCAACAAAGGCCGAGACTTCTGCCACGAGCACTGATGTCTCCGTCACTGACGGTCAACTTCCGGAAACCGCTGCTTTGAGCGCAGCCACATCGAGCCCAGTGCAGCCCGTCAAGACATCTCCCGCTGCACCCCCCACGCCTACGGCCGTGAAGCCCGCGGTACCGGCGGTCCCCGTTGTTCCCGCTGTCCCCACACTGCCGAAGGCTAGCCCCAAAGAAACTAGGGCTACAGCGAGTGTTGAGAAGAGTGCCGAAACCACACCCGCTGTGACCAAACCCGATGAGCAGCAAACCAAACCTGTCAATCCCTCCGCTGAGAATGTGGATGGAGCTGCTCCGGCGATCCAGCCGGCTCCCGCCTGGACCAAACCCAAGCTTTGGGCGGGTTTATTCAAGGGCAACGGGGCAGTCGCGAGCACGAGCTCCGCAACCACGGATACCCAAGGTGAAACCAACGGTAACACAGCAGAAGGGCCATCTGCGGTGTCCGGAGCCGGGAGTTTTGCCAAGGCCAACGCGAGCTCGCTGGCTCAAGCCCTCCAAGCCTACCGGCCCAGCACCCCAGATAGGCTTGCGTTCTTGGAACCGCGAGGGCTCGTGAACACCGGTAATATGTGCTATATGAACTCGGTAAGAACTTCTCGACCCTTCAACCGAGTTGTGTCTGACTTTAGAATAGGTGTTGCAAGTCCTTATATTTTGCGTTCCTTTCTTTGACTTCTTGGATCAAGTCAGCAAGAAAGCAACCCACAGCTTCAAGAGCGATACCCCTCTCGTAGATGCCATGTGGGTACCCCAATCCTTCTGCCACATTATGCAATTGCTCATAACATTAGGGTCATGTTCATGCGCGAGTTCAAATCTATCGACTCGGCTGCGTCGGCCGACCAGCTAAAGAAGCGTTTGAAGAGCGAGGAATACGAAAAGTATGGCGAACCTTTTACCCCCGCGTTCGTCTACGAAGCTATTCGAAATCTTCCGCGCTTTGCCAGCATGAGAGTAGGTTTTCTTCCCCCGATAAGGTGGGATTTTTTTGCTAACGAATCGCAGCGCGGCCATCAAGAGGATGCCCAAGAGTTTCTCGGGTTCCTTCTCGAAGGCCTCCATGACGAGTGCGCCCAGGTGATGCGCGCGGCACCCAACTCCACCGCGTCGACCGCCCCACCGTCGCCCACCTCGTCTCGGGCGAATGAGTCGGTGGAGGGCACCGACGACTGGCTTGAGGTTGGCCCCCGCCAGCGGTCCGCGGTCACGCGTTCTTCAGGCCACTCTCATACATTATCGCCAATCAACAAAATCTTTGGCGGGCATCTCCGCTCGGAATTCCGTGTCCCGGGAAAGAAGAACTCGGTGACTCTGGAACCGTATCAGCCACTCCAGCTGGATATTGGCTCCCCAGAGGTCCGCAACATTATCGATGCTCTCAAGGGCCTTACACGGTCCGAGGTGCTTCACGGTGATTTTAACTCGCCGCACGGCAAGGACGTCCGGGCGACCAAGCAGGTCTTCATCGAGTCCGTGCCGCCAGTTCTAGTTCTACACCTGAAGCGCTTCCAGTTCGACGCTGAGGGATACGGTGGCACCGTCAAGATCTGGAAGAAGATCGGCTATCCGCTTGAGTTTGAGTTCCCACGGGAAGTGCTGTCGCGCCAGACCCGCAACAACATCCTTGCTGGGAACTCGGGCGCTCCTCGGTACCGTTTGATTTCGGTCATTTACCACCACGGCAAGAACGCCAGCGGTGGGCATTACACTGCCGATGTTCGTCGCCAAGATGGCCGGGAGTGGATCCGCATTGATGACACGGTCATCAGGGCGGGTACGAAACGAGGATGTCGCCGAGGGCGGCGCCGAAGAAGACGCCAGCAAGGCCGAGGGACGGAGAGACGCGGGCAACTTGGCCTCTGGCAATCGCTTCGTCGGCATCAATGATGAGGACACCGGTGATGAAGAAGGTTGGAAGCAGGCGGCCGGTGGCAAGAAGTGGAGCAGTGTTGTCAACAACGCAGCGCCGGCTACCACCAACGGCCAGAAGGCCAAACAACAACACAAGGAGAGCATGAAGGAGAACAAGGTGGCCTACCTGCTGTTCTATCAGCGGATCTGATGACGCCGCGCTTGGAAGGAGACTGGGCCCGCCTCGGCACCTGAGGCGGATGGCACGGCGATTCAACATGGTCAGGGTATATTGTCATAAGTAACATGGCGTTACCAAAGCGGGGGCCTTGACCGATAAACCAGCGAACTTCCCGCATTAGGTTGCTATAGGTTTCGGACACGATGCCACGGCGCTCGAAAGGAGTTTGAAGCGCCAATAATTCTAATATCGGCCAACGGAATGGCCACTGAACATCCTAAGCAACCACACGACCACCAAAACCCATCGACATCCCCGCGAATCAACACGGCTATTGGCCGACCACCTGCCGTCGGCCTATATACCTTTCGGTGCCTGCCTCGTGGGGCACCCTTCCCATCCCAAATACTCACCCGAACACCAAATACCACTCAAAAAGCACCACCCGTCAATTCACCAACCAACAGCGTCCCAGAGTGGCCTGGGGGCTGATACGGGTGGAGCCGAAGATGATCAGCAAGCACTACCAGGTGTATCCAGTGGCGAACAACTCATGGCTAATATGATGGAAGCTATGAATTTGTGCGACGCGATCACGTTACATCTCTAGATAAGAATAGCGTATTGCGTAAAATAAAATTGTTCTTAAATATGTGGCGGCTGGCGGTTGTGAGTGTCCAGACAAGGTGATATCTGAAGTGACAACATTTTCCACGGTGTTGTCTTAACAAGATGGTAGTTGCTGACCATTCCGACAAAGGCTAATGAGCGTTTGATGCGTGGTCTAAATGGTGCCGGAGGCATTCTTCTGTAGTTCGCTCACTGCAAACCACCTGGGACACTTTTGAAGCAATCGTGCGGATTCAATGAGCATGTCCTCGTTCGACGACCATCCTCAAAACGCGCTTTAGGTATCCTGCATCAAGGAAGCGCTATCTTCGTCCATGGTCTCTTTTCTTTCCCCACAACTCCTTTCAACTTTCGTCTTTTTCCCCCTTTTCCATCACTTTTCTACCTTCTCCTTTCTTTTTTCCCCATTCCCTTACGTTCCGCGTTTTCTCTCTCCTTTTCCCAGTCCCTCCCTTTCCCTCCCCTTACCTCCCCCCCCTTTCAGCACCGAATCCCCCTCTCCTCCTCCCACCGCCGCCTCTCGCCATCAACCTCCCTCCACCACCTCCGCGTCTCAGCCTCATCCTCATCCCCTTCCCCCTCCCCCTCCCCAGAAGAAGACCCCGCCCCCTCCTCCCAAGGCTTCGGCACCAAAATATAATGCACCGCCTTCACCTCCCCATCCCGCCACAACGGCGCCACACCCCCATCACCCCCATCACCCCCACCCCCACGCCCGTGGCCCCCTCTGGCCACAGACCGCCGCATCGGCGCCAGCGCGTTATACACATATGGCAGGGCCGCCCAGCGCCCGCGGAAGAGGGTGCTGAGGAGGGATTGGTCGGCGAAGGGGAGGTGGTGGGGGGTGCAGGCTGAGGGGTTGTGGTGCAGGAAGGTGGTTATGGTGTGGTGGGTGGTGGGGGAGGGGTGCAGGGTGAGGAGGCCGGCGTTGAGTGTGGGGGTGGGGGTTGTGGAGGTGGAGGAGCGCGTTGGGTGTTGGGTCTGGGGTTGGGTGGTTGGGGAGGAGGTGAGGAGGGAGGTTCGTTGTTGCTGTTGTTGTTGAGTAGTGTAGGCGCAGTTGGCGGGGGTCCAGATTGGGGGGTAGTGGGGGAGTTCGTGTGGATTGCAGACGCAGGCGTCTGGCTTGGAAAGGACGGGGGTTAGTTTTTGTGGTTGTTCAGAGGCGTTTGGGGAGGTTGGTTGCGGTGATGGGGTTTAAGTAAAAGGGGCGCAAGGTGAGGTCGGGTAGTGGAATACATAGGGGAGAATATGAGGTGACAGCACTCGGAGAACAAATAGAGTCGTGGTTTCAAAAAATGCCGGCTTCGAGGATCAACAAGTAAAAGCCACGTACCTGTAGCAGCAAACAACCGATCCTCCTCATCCAGCGGCACGTCGAACAGCTCGTCCATATTCCGCCGCACCAGCATGTCGGCGTCAAGCATCACAACGCGGTCGTATGCTGTCAGGGAAAACACAGCCAGCTTGGTGAAGCAGACCCGGAAGCGCGGATCCTTAGCATACCAGGTGTCGTCGTTGTTGGTATCGCCACCGCCAGCGTGATCCTTGCTGTCCCCATCCTTTGCCCTCCCAACATCGTCATTGCCCCCCTCCTCTGATTGAGGCCCGGGGCACAGATATGGCACACGCTGGGTGGGGATATCCCTCGCCGCGAGGGCCCGGAGAGTCTTGTCCGGGAGGGATCCGGTGTGAAGGGCCACAAGGGGGTATTTAGACTCGACCTTGCGGAGGGAGAAGACGAGGGTGAGGAGGCCTGGGAGGTAGGAGTCGTTTGTTATGAGGCAGGCCCAGACTGTTGATGTTAGTGCGGCTGTGGTACTAGTTACGCATGGGATAGATAATGTTTACTCTTGTCTGAATCAACCACCTTTTCGGTAATGAGCATTTTGAGTGAGGCTGTTGGAGGGAATGAATCTAAGTATCAAGACTATGGATTACGACTGAGTACGATGTTTGCGTGCGAGGCATTAGGCCCATATAACAAAGCATATTGGCAGGATGCAACTGATATCCTAGTTGCAGTTCGCCCCTGCAAGTTTCAAGCTGGATATACACACAAACGGCATGACTGATATCACGAGCCATCACATTATAATGCACTACACCGTATATAACACTTTCCGGAACCCCCTGTTCAGACGATAGAGCTGACTCGCCTCCATCCACCTACCCAGTCACTTGTTACCCTTTGTTGACGTCACCGAGAAAATTAAGGGAACCAAGCATTCTGAGGCACTGCAGTGGAGCCGTGGCTGTTCGCCAGCGCCAGGGCCGTCTTGAAATTAGAGGAGTGTACCTAGACCTCTCTCACGCGTGCAGTATCAGCTCACTGTGGCCGAGCATACAGCCAACTTTGTTACACCAACCACCCGGAACCCACAGTGACCGCTGATAACGCACTTCCAGTTATGCCTATATGCAAGGAGTGATGGAGTCTATGCAGGGCTCTCCAAATCTCACCCACCCAAGCAAGGTAGGGCACCGCTCCAAGGTATCCGGTATCCTCATTCTTACGAGTATGGCTCGTGATTCAACCCAATCTCAGCCAGCCGCCTTCCACACCCCAAACCAATGAATGGCATGCCAAAAAGCCGAGAAACCAAGCTATGTAAGCAAGCTACTCATGTAAGCCAGCTACCGCCCCTCGATAAACGCCTCACTCAGCACTCCCTCCTTGGTCCCCTTGGCCCCCTTAGGCGGCACAAACTGCCCATCCACCAGCCGCCAGCCCTGGCCCTTCATGGCACTCCACTTCTCCTGCACCTTGAGGCGCACCAGCTCGCCGGCGGCGCGGGCGTCCTCGGCGCTGTCATGCCCCATGGCCTTGCCCTCGACTTCGACCTGGATGGCCTTGTTGAGCTGCGTCTCCATGAGCATCTTGAGGCCGTTGCGCATGGGCAGGCCCCGGCGGTGGGGGTACAGCAAGATGGAGTCGATCAGGGTCGGGTGGATGATGCGGGCTGCGTTGAGGTCGTTTTCTAGGCCGTGGCCGATGAGAGGGGTGTCGGGTGCGATGAGCGAGAAGAGCAGGTCGCGTGCTACGATGGGCGACGAGACGATCTGCATCTTCTTTCTCGCTTTCGGGTCCGCTTCTTGGACTGCGCCCGCACCCTCCTCCTCACCTTCCTGTTTTTGTGTTTGATTCTGGGCGCTTTTCTCGGCTGACCACGGCTCGGCGTTGACAATGTCCTCGGGCCACACGCCAGAGAATCTCGAGTTGAGATCGAGGATCTCGCCGACGGGCCGGACGAGAACATCAAGTAGTTCCTTTCCGTCGGGCCAGCTCGTAGCTGTTAGACGGATCAGCTCCATTCCGCGGACAGTGTAGCCCATCTCGCAGTCGAAGCAGACGGCGCGATCTTTGGGCGCCAGCGGGTTCGGTGGCGTCTCGGCAAAGGGGATAAGGGACGCCAGGCGCGCTGGAGACGTTGTCTTGAAGACGTGGGTGCCGCCACTCACGCAGCCCGCCGACTCGCCCACCACCTGGTGGCAGCACCGGTACCGCCTAGCGGGTTTGTCAAAGTCGCCCATGGTCCGCTCCGGGTAGTATACCCGGCCTGGGTGATGGAGGCATTTGCCTCCCGACGTTAGAGCTCCGTCTTCCTCACGACGGCCGGGAAATACTTGGAAATTAGTCCTGCAGCGGTCGCAAGATTCGTAGCCCAGTGAAGCCTCTTCTCCTTCACGTGCCTTGGCGACCTCCTCATCGCTCGGGGCGGTCGGAACATAGCCACACTGAGTGAGCTTATCGATCGGCGTGACTAGGTGGGTGAGAAAGTCGACCTCTTGCTGGCGAGTGAGGCCCGTCTCAACGACCTTGGGAGGGCCAAGGGCCGGCTTCTTGGATGTTTTCGATCCGGGAGTTGCCGGGGCTTGCTTCTTCTTACGCTCGGCAACGCGTTCGTCCCTCCACTGGCCCGGGGTCATCCGCTTATAGACCATGATGCGATTTTTAATAACGTTTTGGTAGATAGACGGTTTTTCCGTTGCCATTTTCTGTTCCTCATCGAGGGCTAACCAGATGAGCTCCTGAGCCGAGAGAACGAGCATCTTCTCGTCGTCTTTGGCGTCTTTTTTCAGCTCTTCGTTGAGTTTGTGGAACTGGTCATGAAGAACCTTGAGGGCCCTATATCGAAAGTCATGGGCCGCTGGAGCTGCCGACTTCAGGTGACGGGGGTTCAGGGTTTCAGGCTTCCTGGGTGTGACCTTCTGTGGCGTATTGTGCTGGGGTGTGACCTTTTGAGACGTGGCGCTTTGGTGAGCCTTTGTTGTCGATGTGGAAGATACCGCAGACCCAGGTGCTGGTTCAGCTGGTTTTGTCACCGGCGCTGGGTGAGCTGGGGGAGCTGGCTGGCCTGGGAGCAAAGGCACCTTTCGTTTCAGGGGCGGAGGTGAAACTGGTTGTCTGGCCGAGGAAGGCTCTGGCTCTGGCTGCGTCGAGGTAGGCTGCGTTGGGGTAGGCGCAGGCTCGGACGAGACCTTTCGACGCTTTCGTGGCCCGTCTCCGTCCTGGCCTCCGTCCTGGCCTCCGCCCTCTGCCTGAGTTGTCTGAGTTGCCTGAGTTGTTGGAGAGTCCTGATCCCGGGTGTGTTGCCATGGGCAATTCGACTTGGTGCAGCTGTCCCCTGTCGGGCAGGGGATCAACTTGAAGTTTCGTAGAACGGCATCCATCGCGTCCTTGACGGGAGGGTTATCTGGCAATGAGTCAGATGCGTTGGTCGGTGAGAGAGGTCATCAGGAAGGCGTGGTTTGTGGCGGAGGTACCAGGTGAACCACGCCTGAATCAAGAGAGTGGGAACAAACACAAAAAGAACCAAACTCGTGATACTCTCTTTTCTGAGACTGATTCGGAAAGGAGTATTCTGGGAATGGCGTTGAGATTGAGGAAGGTGTTGGGGGAAAAGTGGTGGTGGATGTAGCGTAGCGAAGCGGTTGGGTCGGGAGGATGGATGGTATAGGCAAGGCGACAGCGGCCTCTGAAGTCCAAATGCTGAACTCGGGGGATAAAATGAGTGTATGAAGATTTGGGTTGGTTCTCAGGTTGCCAAAAAGATGGGTTTGAGGTTCAAGTTCTTGCACGGCCTGCCTACCTAGAACGGGAGCAGCAATGGAAAGGGCGAAACCCGGAAACGTGAGACTGGTCTGATGCAGGAGGAGCGATTGGAGAGGACCAATTGATTGAAAGTGCAACAGGAGAGAGGATGGTCATTGGTGAGGTTGGAAGGGAGTAAAGAGGGTAAAGAGGGTAGGAGGGTGTCACGTAAGCTAAAATAGATGAAGAGATAAATCCGAAGGTTGCAAAGGATGAAATTTAGATAGAGACCTAGAAATATTCAGCTCTTGGAAACAGAGTCACATATTGGTCCCACGCTGTGACGGCTTTGTTCATGTCGTGTTTGATGTTGTTGGCGCCGGTGAGGCCTGCCAAGAGAAGAAGCACACGGGTCAGCCAGGCTGCGTTTGGGGCTTCCTTCGGTATGGACATACCTGTAGTTACACTCAGCCGCAAGGCTGTCAGCTACCCCTGCTGTTACCCACCAGCCCACCACTGGATGAGTGGGGTGATCAAAGAAGGCAGCCCCCGGTGATTTCTCTGCCCCATGTTGAGCAACCTACATGGTACACTTCCAATCTCTCCTCCATTATATCACTTGTGTACCATTACCCTCTTCATTTTTCACCACTGTATCTCTTACCTCCCCCGTTCCCACTGGTAAAATACTTTGTTGAGACCTGGTTAAGTATTGCCCCAATAAGACCCTGGACCGTGTGGGCAGTCTAACCTAGTACCCGTAACGGCAACTTATAAGGAATGGCAGCTGGTCGTGTTGCACGGTAGGCCTCTTAGCGGTAGGCCTCATACCTTAGCAGTGGGGCTCATCGGAGCATGCCCCATAGCTGTAAGCCTCTCACGTAGGTACGTTGGTGACTGGAAGGAGAGCCAGGTCCTAGCAGCCCCCAATTGCATAGCAACGACTCGGCCGCACTGGAAATCCGTGCTCATTCTCGTGACATCCGAAGCGGGGAATAAATAGCAGCCATGGCGTAGTAATACACAGTCCTCATCCGATTATCGTTTCACATATCCACCAGATCTCCTCCCCCCACCGCCTATGGCCTGCCCACATTCATCAACAAATTTGTCCCCTTGCCGCCGCCCGGAAGGTACGCCACATTCGGGTTGCTGGCCAGCGTCTGCGCAATCTCCCTGCTCGCCTCGATCTTCCGGATCTGAATCAAACCGTCGCCCGACTTGGCGATGGCCTTGCCGACGGCGTCGGCACTCTCGGCCTCGCCCTCGGCGCGGATGACGTTGGCCTGGCGCTCCTGCTCGGCCTTCTCGACGATGAAGCGCGCCCGCTCGGCGTCCTGCTGCGCGATCTGCTTCTGCTCGACCGCCTTGGTGAACTCCTTGCCGAACGTCATGTGCGTGATGGACACGTCCTCGAGCGCAATGTTGAACTCGCGCGCCCGCTTCATCAGGTCCTGCCGGATCCGCTCCGACACCGCCTCACGCTGCGTGATCAGCTCGGCGGCGTCGAACTGCGCCACGATGGACTTGAGCACTTCGTTGCCGATCGAGGGGAGCACGCGCTCGTCGTAGTCTTGACCGAGGGACTGTGGGTGGGGTTAGTACGGTGGGAAAAATATATATAATACAAAAAAAGAAAGAGGGGGGGAACTCACCTGGTAGATCTTGGGCAGTGCCCTCACATCGGGCCGGTGCAGTACTCGGAGCGTCAAGCTGACCATCTGGAGATCCTTGCTGCCCGTCGTCGTGGGGATGATGCGCGGCTTAGTGCGGACGTCGAAGATGATGGCCTTCTGCAGCCAGGGAATGAGGAAGTGTGTACCCTCGGCAGTCACTGTTTCCTTGACACCCGATAACCGGTCGAAGATGACCGCCCGGGAGCCACCCTTGACATCGTAGATGGAGGCATTGAACAAGCCGTAGCCAATCGCCGCCGGAACTGCCGCCGAGTAGAGGAACCCGAGACCTCTTGCCGCCATTTTGCACTCTGGTTACTTAGAAAACGCTGATACCGGCCGTGTGGATTTGGGGTGTGGTCGGATTGAGGAAGACCGCCGTCTGTTGCTTGAGCTCGTCGCCGTGGGGTCGTCTTCCGATTTGCTTCGACTGCTGCTTGCACTGGCAAATGGATGGAGCTTCTGCAAAAGTGGAGCCGAAACGATGGAAGAGGGCTCGCCGGGTGGTCCGGGCGTGGCAAGCTTGTCCGTTTGCTCACCAGGCACTAGCCTCATTGGGGCGCTGTTTCTCGGCTTTGGCGACTGATTTCGACTGCAAACCGCCCAGAGCCAACCCTACCACTGCGCTCGCAACGACGAACGGACCCCCTCCCCAACGCATTCATCTCGACTCCCCGATTCACGATGCGCCCTACTCAGTACCTCCTCGGAGGCGGCGGCGGCGCCCCTATCGGCACGCATGGAAAGTCAGTCTCCCGGTGACGTGGTTGGCATTCCGTGCGCCTTTTCCCGAGTTCGGGAGAGGGCCAGCCCTTGGGTGCATTGGAAAGTCAATTCTTTCTAGGGCTTTTGCTAACGGTTCTGCAGATACCTCGGCGACTGGGGTAACTTTGGTGAGTGATATCCGAAGCGAGACGACGCCAATGGGAAGGTTGGGCGCAGTGCGGGACACAATTCAAGATGGGGGAAGTTGGAGGGGCAAAGAAGACGACAATGCCGTATCCGCCAGGTATTCGAAGGTCATTTTGTCTGACGGAGTTCTCCAACAGGTGGCATGAAGCAGAAGGGCATTATCTCTTACGGTATTGCCCCCAACCGCCAGTATCCCCTTGCTGGCGCTGCCCACGATGCGTTTTTCAACACCTGGAGGCGGTTCAGCGCACAGGTCCTGTACTGGGCTCCCCCGATGATCGCCGGCTACTACATCGTGAACTGGGCCGTTGACAAGTATGATTTGGACTCTGACGGCGTGGAGAATTCAACGCTAACTGGCTGTCAGGAACCACTACCTCAACTCGAAGCAGGGCCGCGCCGAGTTCGGTGGCCAGGAGGAGTAAGGGCGAGATAACGAGGGATACCGCTCAGAGACGGAAACGTGTGAATAAATAGACTCACTTGTACACCACAACAGAGATGGGGTTTGAGGATAGACCCAGTTGCTGCCCGTCTGCCATTCTCTAGCCTGTCCTTTTCAGGACCATGTCATGATTTGCTATGTATATACCCGGTTGATCCCCCGCCGGATCTAAAATACCACCATTGGGTTGTTGATGGTCGGCCCGAAGCACCTGGTAGCTTAGGGGATTCCTTAGCTTAGCCGTTGAACAATGGAATCGGTCACCGTACTCCTCTTTATTTTTTTTTTGAAAAAAAAAAAAAAAGTTGGAGCCGAAAACTCCCGGTCCCCGCCAAATTCTCATGGCTGTCCGCCTCGACGAAGCCGCGCGCAAGCCCACGGTGTGATTTGTTGAAACCAGCATTGTGCTAGTTAAATCGGTTGGGGCGTTGTCTTACAGGTCCGACTCCTCTAATAGAGAATTGCAGCTCACTTCTCCTGAGTACACAAAACGGACACATATGGATAATAGGTACTTCTGCTAACATTTTGATGCCAAGCCAGACGCGGGCTTCCCCGGATCTCCGACTTTCAAGGTGATAAATTAATTCGCAAGTAACAGAAGGAAACTCACCTAGCTAACGCAAGTTTCCTGTCGGTTCGTGCCCAGGTGGGGGAGGTTCTGTGGATCCGCCCGAAACTGGGCTCCAGGTTGTTCTCGGATTGGCACGTGAAGAAACTCGGGCTTGCGACAGGGGGGTTCTTTTGTTGAGCAGGCCGGGATGACCTGCTGATGAACCTCTCGCTAGCGCCGCGTTTTCCCCCAGTAGCGCCATTGCCGATTTGGCAAACCCGGAATCCGGATAACAGCTTGACCGTTGAAGCCAGGTGAGAAGACCTGCACAGGCTGCAACTTGGCTTGATTTTTGTCAAACCATTTCCCTCGAATTGCTGTCGCTTCACAGCAGGCGGGCCTCTAAGAGGCAGAAGAAGGTTGGGCTCCAATCTGAAGGCAACCGAGGCCGATGACATCGCCCCGTCCCATCTGATCTTCAGCACGAACCCTGGGCCCGTCCCTTGCTCCCTCCATTTTGTCGGTATTCGTATCACCTATCCTCCACACCACACGAACCTCTCGCCGAGCGAGCCCGCAGAGTGCAAACTTGGAATCAAGGGTGGAACAGCAGAAAGGGTCTTCGGTGTGCTGAGCGCATAGCATTTTCATTTTTGGCCACCTGGCCGCGAATCCACACCATCGACCCAAGTCCTGCTGGTTCGCCCAGTCGAGTTCCCTCCCCCCCCTGGCGCGGTCGCACTTCGTCCTTCATGGCCTTCTCGATGTCGACGGCAAGATGAACTCCCTCAACATCATCTCGGCCCGAGTCTCCCCTCCGCCGAGCCCAGGACCGACAAGATCAAACTCGCTTAACGCTCTAGGACTGGCAGTCAGCTCCGAAGCCGACGGGCCACGGCAGAACCAGACCGAGAGCGCGCTACGCAATATTAATGAGAAGGATGGATTGATGGCCGAGCCCGACGACTTCCGTTTAGAAAACCCACCAACTGACGACCGGCGCCACGAATACGCGATCGACGAAACGGCCCCCCTAATATCCCAAGCAAAAGACTCTAAGCCTCAAGGCTGGTTGTGGGTGCTTTACCCAAAGCGTGTTACAAACGCCTTTGTGGACTCTGTACGGTGGATCCTGTCGACGTTGGCTACGCCCGGCGTCTATTTGTACGCCTGCTTTTGCGACGAGAACGGCCACTTCGCGCCGCTGCAGCAGCTCGGGCGGCTGTTCGGCCTCTACGGGGGTGATGCGAAGAGGATGGCATTGGATTATCACGAAGGGATAGCTGCGTCCGAGAAGCGCAGACAGGGTACAGACGGGTCCGCAGGCGGGAGTGGGCGGAGGAATAGTAGAACATTACGTGTCGTCGGGTCGAACGCTTCTTCGTCGTCCGGCCTCTCGTCGGAATCGGAGTCGGACCCGGACCGTAAGAGGCAGGGCACCCGTCGAGGCTCAAGTGGAAGACACTTGCGCTCGAAATCACTACCGGATTCCGACGAGGTTGCGCCGGCACAGCGCTCCATAAGAATCAAACTCCACTCTGACGAAGCCCTGCGGCAGAGGAAGCACCGGAAATCGCAGTCGACCAGCGCTCGCGGAAGCGGCGGGTCCGGCGACGCCATGGACAGCATCTCGGCCCAGCTAAAGTCCCCAACCTCTCCCGCCGGCGCTCTGACCAAGTACCCCAAGACGCCGGCGCCTCCACGGCCACTAATCCCACGCCGACAACCCTCGTATATCAACAAGAACGTAGAAATGACCGACGTCAGACACCAAAAGACATTGATCCTCGATCTCGATGAGACACTGATCCACAGCATGTCCAAGGGCGGGCGGATGAGCTCGGGGCACATGGTGGAGGTGCGCCTCAACACCACCTACCAGAGCGCGGGAGGGCAGGCGGCCGTCGGCCCCCAGCACCCGATCTTGTACTACGTGCACAAGCGGCCGCACTGCGACGAGTTTCTGCGACGCGTCAGCAAGTGGTTCAACCTGGTCGTCTTCACGGCGTCGGTGCAGGAGTACGCCGACCCGGTCATCGACTGGCTCGAGGCCGAACGCAAGTACTTCTCGGCCCGCTACTACCGCCAACACTGCACCTTCCGCCACGGCGCCTTCATCAAGGACCTTAGCTCGGTCGAGCCCGACCTGAGTAAGGTTATGATCCTGGATAACAGCCCGTTGAGTTACATGTTCCACCAAGGTCGGTCATACCCCCCCTTAACCCATGCCTTCCCGACCTATACTCACATTCTTGTCTCCAGACAACGCAATCCCGATACAGGGCTGGATCAGCGACCCCACAGATAGCGACCTGTCGAACTTGATACCCTTTCTCGAGGGGCTGCAGTACGTGTCTGACGTACGTGCGCTCCTAGCCCTGCGCGGCGGCGAGGACGGGCAGCATATGGCCTGACGAGAGGATTCGCATTGATTGGGGGCATTGTTTATTGTGGCATTACATGGATTGGCGGGGGCCGGGACACAGCACATTTCTCTCTCTTTTTTTTTGGAGATAGGTGGGCGGGGAGGAGGCAAGCAAGCAAAAGAGTTGAATGTTTTGCAGAGCGGGTCAAGCGAAGGCATGCGGAGTGAAGAGGCTCGTGTCGTGTGTGTGGTATGCTTGGGGGTTTTTTGTTGCCTGCGGGGCATCACACCTATGGCATGTGACGGAGTACTGAGTAACTCTGCTGTGGCCCAGTAGCTTCCTGGTAATTGAGCCTTTACATTACCTGCTTTCGTCGTTTTATGGGTGTTGGTGAAAGTGGCTGACCAGGTGGTCAGTGAGTGGTTGGTGTAACTGACTACTCAAGCACCGAGCCGAGCCGGAATCGAACGTGTAAGTCTGGTAGATGTCCGTGGTGTTTGAAGCGAGTGATTGTCCGCCTAGCGGCAGTGCTTTCAGGGGGCTATGGCTTCGGCGGCAGGATGGCCACTAGGAGAACCCTAACCCTTCAATTACAGGGCGAGGCTCTTCGTCTTTTCCTAGAGCCTCGACACCATCCTATTTCCGATAAATAAGCAGCGAACATCACTACACTCAATAATTAGGTTTATGGTGGTATTCTTGATCTCGAACCTCCAGTAACCGCGTTGCGGATGTGGCGTTGGCTGAGCTTGGGATAAGTTCACCCGCTGAACTAAACTAATGCAAGGGGTAACTCTTTCAACCCCCACTACCTATCATATAAGCTGCACAGTAGTGCAGTTATTGCCCCTTGGGTTTTCGATTCTCAACAAACCCCTTTACAGAAATCCTACAGATCCCTGTGGTCCAGATCTCTTCGTCCCAGGCTTGCCAGGGCAAAGCTCCGAAAGCAGCCCCAGGGCGGCATCGGCCCGAGAATGAGAATCCCCTCAATTGCGTCAGTAATTGAGACCCCTCCCTCAACCAAGCTTCGAGACCAGCCAAAGTGACAATGGAACTGCCTGGATATTGAAACTGCCGCTTCTGGCCGCCGTTCGCCGGCGCAGCTTCTGCAGGAAAGCGCCGGCCACCCGTCCGAGCATTCTGGTGGGGCGAGCAGGCCAGGGTAGAACATGGTGACGTCATACTACAGCTTCTGAAAGGTGCAAGCCCAGGGAAGCTTCGATGCGATGATGTTATGGGCCTGGTGTTTCCGACTCAGGTGGACTAACAAGGTGGAGGCCGGCGGCGCCGCTTCCTGTACTACAAGCAGGATGAGTGACGCACAAAGGGGGAGTAAGGAAACCAAGGAGTAACACCGACCCTGCTTCGGTCCTCCCGCTTGCTGCTATAAACCAGCTCGCCCTCCGGCCACTGACTGGCACTTGCATTTTCATCATCCTGTACACCATTCAGTTGAACAAACAACATCCAATCTCATACCAAATAACAACACGAACTTCAAATTCTCGACTTTCAAGACATCTAATCCACCACCCACCATGTCTCTGCACTGTCAGTACACCCCCCCTTCCTCGTATTGTTCCTCGCCCCGTCCCGTTTCCGGCCTTCCTGTACACCGACAACTTGGGTTCAATGCCAGAGCCAATGAGGCAATTGGAATCTTCAGGTCGACGCCGCTCGAGCCTTGATCTCAAAATTGGATAGCGACTACCCGGAGAATAAGGCTCGATCATTGAGAGGATGCCGCCACCCGTGGGTTGGGTGATGTGTGACGCCAGTCTCAAATGCGGGGAATCGATCCAATTCTGAAGTCGAGCTTGGGGAGGTGGTCAACTTCAGACATTGGACTATAACAAACAATACACAACAAGCCTCTCTCTCCAGGAAGCTAACCCGCTCCCAGATCTCCCCGCCGTCAAGCCCTCAGCCATTGCTCTCGGCACCGTCTTCAACCACGCCGCCGAGCTGGCCGTGCTCACCCCTCTCTTCGGCCAGACATACCAGCGCGCCAAGGCGTCTAACACTAAGGAGGAGTTCCTTAAGTCACGGGAGGCTACAGGCGCTGCCATCGCATGGGGCACCGCCTTTGTCGGCTCCGGGTTGCAGGCGTACGGTGTGGGCGCCCTCATCAACGCCACGGGCACCCTCAGCTATAAGGGTGCGGCCTACCTGGGCGGTCTGATCTTTGCGGCTACCAGTGCTCCTACTGTAAGTCATATTGCCCATTCATGATCTGGGGCGTTGAGGGGAACGATGGCGCTAACATTGGCCACAGTTCATCAGCCAGTTGTTCGTCGAGAAGCGCGCCTTGGAGCAAGTGGGCGTCAACGTTCTAGCCAAGCTGTTTGAGACGATCGGCCTGTCTGTCTTTATGACTTGGTGGGGAACACGCACCAACCCGTTTGAGCAGTGAGTAACTCGTATCTCATGTAATAGACCTCAAATGTTAACAAGATTGTAGCACCGGCGCCGGTGGCACGCCCCTGACCCGGAACGCTTTCAGGTCCGAGTAAGCGGAGGCAATGGACAATAACGGAGTTGACATTCTTTAATCGCATCGAGCGCACCCGAATAGAGTGACCTCGGGGACAGAATGGGTTGGGCGGTGGCTTCACGCTTTCCTCAGCTGTAATTGTACTTCGGTGTTAGCATTCATGGATCTGGAATTTGATTGAACCTGCCAAATTCTCTGTCCATAATTGTGTGTACCGTTCCCCGTTTCAAGATGTGTACCGGCCTAGATCCATGACAAGAGGAACTTTTCATTTTCAATATCTACACCCAGGAGCCTTGGAGCTTCCTAGAACCCATGCAAAGTGCCAAACCCTCGTAACGCCATCCATTACACAAGAGAGCCATGAAAGCCAACAGAGAAAAGCCGACCACCGTGATCAGCCATACAGCAACAGTCAGCAGGTGATCAACGGACAATCCAACTGAGAGTTGCCGTTGTGACGCTCGAGAACCGGTCAATTGGTCGTGACCGGCCCAAGAGCGGAAGGAGTCATAGACAAGCTAGCCATGGCAAAACCACTTGGTGACTTAGTGGGTTTGCCCTTGCCTTTGCGGCGTCAAATGCCCCAAGACGGAAGCAACATTCCCCCCCCCCTCGAACCGAACTCAAGCGCTCGCCGCCAGCCGCGCCTTCTCCCTGTCGGCAATTTGCAGAGGGTGTGTGCCCTTGACCCACGGCTGGACCTGGATCTTCCACTGCTTCTCGGCCGTCTTGACCAAATCCTTCCACGCGTCGAGGTACTCCTCGGCATTGACCTTGCCGCTGTCGGCGTCCTCCATCTCGGCATCGCCGTCCTTCTTGGCGGCGCCCTTGCCCTCGGGCTTGAGCATCACCACGCTGGTCGCGCGCTTGGTGCACGCGGCCACGCCGAGGTCGGCGCGCGACCGCACGTACAGGTACGGCACGCCGTGCTCCTCGCACAGCACGGGGAAGTGCATGATGACGTCCATGGGCGAGATGTCGCCCGCGATAATGACCAGCCCCGGCGCCGCCACCTCGCCCGACGCCGCCGTCTTGGGCGGGCACTTCTTGATCGCCTTCTCGCACTCTTTTACGCCGCGGTGGATCGACCTGAGCTTGGCGCCTGTTGGCAGGGGGGAAGTGAGGTTAGTAGGTGCGTTGGAGGGATCAATCAATCAATCAATCAACCGCAAGGGGGGTTGGGGTTGTTTGGCTAACGTACCCTTCTTGATCAGCTTGAAGATCTTCTTGTGTGCCTTGTCGTCGGCGAGCGGCAGCGCGAACGGAACTAGCTCCTCGGCGGGCTTGATCAGGTCCTCGGGATCGACATCGGCCGCGTCGTCCTGGGCCTCGAAGGCCGCGGCGGCATCGGCTTGGAGATGGGCATCGAGGGCGCGGGCGAGCTTGTCTTGCTTCGCCTTGTCCTTCTTCTTGTCCTTCTTCTCTTTGCGGACGCCCTCGCTCTCGCTGCGCTTCTTATCCTTCTTCTCCGACTTGTCCTTGCTCTTCTTCTCCTTCTTCAGCTTCTTGTCGTCAACGACCTCGACCCTGCCCTCGGCCGCCATTGTGATGGTTGGTATTCGTGAAAGGGAAATTAGGTGTGGGATATCGGAAGTCTAGAAACTAAGGTCCCAATGGCAGGTTTGGTCGGTAAAATTTAGGAGGGAGGTGTTGAAAATCGGTGTTGAGTATAGGTATCGGTGTCTCTGTTTCCGCGCCGAATCGCTCGCCCTCCAGATTTTCTGAGCAGAACCACCGCCATGCCAAATTTTGAAGGCCAATTGTATCGCCGCTCCGCTTATCTTAGCGTCGCATCCCGGCATGGTCGTGTGCGTGACTCCGGTGTTTAGCCGAAGACAAGAAAGGTGGGATGTGCGGGGCACACATTGAGCCCCACCATGATTTTCTCAATCAGTGAGCTCGAGCATGACACTTGACTCACATTCCATCCCTCTTCAAGATCGCTTTTCGAGCCAATTTGAACACAAACAAGTCGATTCCAGACCACACCCTATATCCACTACCATCGAAGACTCCCTACTGCATAGAACACCAGAAACCGGATTCACGACCCTGATCGCCTATTATCTGGGTTTCCGATCCTAACGTGGGGTCATTGAATACGGAGCTCTGCCCCACGGCCTGTCATAGAAGAGACAAAGCTATGGCTCCCTCACAAGCGGCCCATGTGCCGACCCTGGACAACTTAATAAAGTCGTTCAACAATCAAACTCTTGAGGCATCGATTGAGTCTCTAATTTTGTAAGCTCGGCTTTGGCACGATTCTGTGCCCGGCAGCTAACACTATGTCACAGTCTCCTAAAGCGGCGCCAAGTCAAGGGGGACGAATGCGCCAAAGCAACCGCACACATCCTCCGACAAGTTGTCGCCAAATCAAAGTGGAACGATGTCGACCAGCTTCTGTCTAGGATCCAGAGCTATGGGTCGAGACTGGCGCGCGCTGCCCCGCTGGAGCCTGTTATCGGCAATGTCGTGCGACGTGTGTTGGGTTTGATTCGAGACGAGGCGACCGAGGACAGGAACGCCGATGACTTGGCCAGCGAGGCCGCTTCCGACATCCAGAGCTTGACTCCGAGCACCAACCCGAACGCTCACCCCCCGCAACGGCCGGCACCCGTCCCGATTCGCCCTTCCCCTTCGGTCATCTCGACCGGCCTCCAAGTCTCCAAGTCCATGTTCAACCTCCTATCCGTTGCGAACCCTGGCGACTCGCCGATAACAGGGGCATCCACTCCCATGTCACAAGCTCAACCAGCTAGTGCGCATGCTCTGCGATCCGAAGTCATGGATGGGATTGAGGAAATTCTAGACGAGATCAACCAGGCCGACGACCAGATCGCAGGGTTTTCAGAGATCCAGATTCACCCGGGCGACTACGTGCTAGCATATCAGCCGTCAAGGACCGTTGAGAAGTTTCTAGTTAAGGCTGCATCAAAACGGCGGTTTACCGTTCTCATCGCCAGTCATGCCTTTTCCTACGGAACGTCCGAGGCTCCCTACGCCACGCTACGGAAAAAGCTCAACGCAGCCGGCGTAAATACCATTAACCTGGCCAGCAACGGCCTGATGGCCTACATACCACGAGTCAACAAGGTCATCTTCAGCGCGAAGGCCGTGTACCAGAACGGAGGTCTGCTGGTAGACAGCGGCTCCTGCATTGCTGCTCAGGCAGCGTACGAATATCTCAAGCCTGTCATCGTCCTCTGTCCCGTCTACAAGTTCTGCCCCGAAGATCCGTCAGACGAGGTGTCGAGGGGTGAGCTGGGAAACCCGTCCAGCTATGTGAGCTACGCGAATGGCCCAGCGGTGGACGCGCTCGACGTGGAGAATACTGTCACAGACTACATCCCGCCAGAGCTTATCGACGTCTATCTCACCAATCTGTAGGTTTCCTTTCAGGTTTGGCTTGCTGTCCGTGTGCTGACGTTCAACAGGGGCCCTCAAACGCGGCATCATCTTGCCAGCATCCTCGCAGACCACTATAAGACGGAGGACATTGGCTTCTCTTTGCAGCTTGGCGAGCCTTGAGGCCGGCGCGTGTTGGCACATTTACCTTGAGGCCGCCAAGGACGCGACAGCTCATCATCGCTCTGAAAACGCATCGAAATTTGGCCTCTGACAACTTACCACAGTAATCCCCGGAAATAACCGCATGCCGTAAAGTTCCATCATTCTGGCCGCGTAAGCCAGGGGCGGATTGCGTGGAACAAAAATGCGGGGAACAAGGAGGAACCCCAACAGAGGGGCACTGCTCACCAAACCCTCGCAGAACAAAGGCGTAATCATCGGGTCTTGGCGAATGGGAAGTCAGACTTCTGGCATGGGGCAGATTAGTGAGAGGTTCCTGAGCTTACGCCTCGTTCGAAGTTGAGGACGCCAGTGACTCTTTCCCGCATCCAATAGCTACCTAGGTAGTTGAACCATATCACCCCACCTAGCCCAGCCCGCCTTATCCCTTCTCCCAATTCCGCCCCTCTATGTGCAAGTCGTGAACCCAAAGGATTTTGACATTTAATCAGCGGAACTCCATCCAAGTGGCAAGTCGACGACGTTCTTCGACCTTTAATCCTTGCGCATCAAAAGCTTGGCCCTCTTATACGCACTCCCTACGCACTCCATCATTACTCCATTATGCCGTCGCATTTAGAGGACGTGCCTCCCCCGCCCTACACTGAGACAGACATCTTCTCGACCTCGGGGCGAGACGCGCACCTCGCTGACGACACCTCGAGGTCCACTACATCCACTAACGGGGATGTCATTTATACCCCCCCTCTCACACCCCGAAGCTCCCATCAGTCCAACTTCGCTGGTGAAGTCGACCATGGAACAAGCTCGGCTGCCGCTGCATACTTTGAGACACGCCCGCCTCCTCTGCTGAGCAGCCAACCACAGCTCGTACACTCCATCACTCTCCTCTCGGGCTCTACCCCAGACGACCTGCCCTACCCGAGCGAGCTCGCTGCACGGGACGTCCGCCTCGAAGACTGGCAGACCTTCACCAACTACTTGTTGCCCAACCACTCAGCAAACACCAACGAACAAATCATCGACCGCAAGTTGCGAGCCGAAGCCATGACGGCGACCAATAATACCAACAACCCCAGCAACAACCATGAAGACGCCCGCTCGCAGTCCTCGGGCCGGAGCCACGCCGAAGCACACCTCAACCGCATCCGCTCCCCCGTCGACACCGACCCGGCCGAGCACCGCCAAAGCGTCGAATCCACCGTCCGCGAGTGGAACGATGGCTTCTTCGGCCCCCGCCGCGTCTCTATCCGCGTCGACCTCGAGCCCATGCCCTCCTCCAACCCCCCCAACAACCGTGGTCTGACCGAAAGTGGCCCCGCAACCCCTCCCCGAGAAAAGCCCCCATGTCATGCAGAGGCGCATGAGACAACTCCTTTGACCAGCTCACCCACCCGGACCCAAACGCACCCGCGGGCCTCGACCCCCCGGCGCGGGTATAACAGGCCTCCTGGCCAGTCCGTATCTCCGTCGCCAGTAGCAGACGCGGGGAGCGGGACCGGACCCGGACCCGCTGCCGGAGCCTGTGCTGGAACGGAGGCGGCGGGGGGTTTCGATTCGCGGGCCTCAACATCCAGTTGGACTGCGTTTTGTACAGCAACATCTTAGTCTTCGAATTCCGGACCGTCTCGCTGCGTATAGGGGGTATTGTTGCCTACGGGAGATGGATCCGAGACAATAACCGGCCTATGTTTAGCGTAGCTGGGGATCCGGGGCCGGGGCCGGATCAGCAAGCGCGGGAAGGAGAGGGTGAGAGGGGGAGGGGTTGGGGGCCGCCTGGTTGGGGGATGGGTGGCGGACCGAGGAGGCCGGGTGGTTGGGG